GACTATGGCAGGATGTAAGTCCTCTGATCTGCAATCCCAAAGTAGTGACACTCTCTAGCCTGACCCAGATCCAATGGTTAAGAGTTCACACTGATAGGGGTTTGGAGTAAAAGAAGATATCTATTAAGTGACTTCCTAACTACTTATATACTGAAACATGAGTAAGCTAAAGTCATTGGGAGTCATCCTACTATAAATACCCTTGATTTACCAAATAATCATACCCAGTCATTATGACTCATAATGACTGAAGGAGATCATTTTTATGATCTGTTACAATCAGCCTGTGTCACTGAGCATCAGGCAAAACCCTGGTTTTGGCTCATAGCTGCAGCTACCTCACTGCTTGTCTCCTCTGCAGCATTGATATCTAAGGCAATAACACATAGGGAATCACTGCTGGCAGAGCTGGTGGATTTGGAGCTGTCTTCAGAGTTGGATAATGATTTGTTACTACTGGAAGAGTCATAGTAGGAAGCAGCAAGATCATCCTTGGCTTGTTGACCTCCAAAGGTGTCCATCCAGTTTTCAATTTGCTGAATGAACATCTGTTGAGTTTCTAATATGTAAGGAAACAGTAGCTACATACCTTAGAGCAGTCATAATAGCATTGGTTATATTCCCTCAGCCAGGGATGAGTAAACAACTCAGGATATAACCTTGCCCACATGGCTATGAACCACATCTAAAACTTTTCTGTGTTTTTATTCAAGATGGCACACTCATATGTGTCCTGGTACTGCACCAATGTTCACTGCATTTGCTCATCAAACAAGTGGATGGGTGATCATGTCTTGAAACATAGGTCAGTACACTCTAGGTGTGGTAGGGATTGCAATACATACTGGATGCACAGGTAAACTCCAAGGGCTGTGACCATCATCAGACATTGTATGGAGGTATAGCTCAACAGAGGGATTCATAAGGTGGATGGGTGTGGCATGGATTTCAATTTGGGTATTCATAAGGCCATGAGTTCACCAAGAAGACTATGGTGGTACATGATTTCATGAATTTTGTACCCTTATGAAATACACTATGAAGTTTGTTAGCTCCAGACAATGATGAGCAGAGCAGGTCTTGCAACAAATTGATGACATTCTGTATCTCTGCAAGCACCTGTGTAGCCTCCTTCCACAAGTCTGTACACCCTGCCAGCCAGTAAACATGGGTGGTTATTATATTGCAGCAACTGTAAAGTTTATTAAATGGCTTCAACATGTCACTGAGAACAGCTGTAAGATCACTATTTTGAGGGTCAGTAGCCTTGGTGAAAGCATGGGCTGCAAGGGCTGAGGGAGAACTGTTTTCCAGTCTTGTGGCCAGTTTGGTATGCACCTGCTGTAGAGTGCCTGTCCACTCTTCCATAGTGACTGATCTTCTGTGTGTATCCCTGTAATAAATATTAAATAAGACAGCAAATGTGTAACAGTAATAGCAAGGACAAACAAAGAAACTGCAGGACCAGCATGTGTGCATGCACACTGAGGTTGAGCAGATACAACATGGCAAGAGAATGTTCTGCATTTCCATTGCATTCAGCATACTGCTTGCATCCTTTCTGACAGTGGATGCCATGATTTCTGATCAAAAAAAAGTGAGCTCAGTGATTCAAAGGTGCTGAACAATAGAACATAGAAAGCACACCTCTCATAATAAGCCTGCTGAGAGAGAGCATGTGCATAGGCTCTCTCTTTGCCATTGCTGTACTTGTGTGAGCATCCTTGCTGTTGATGAACTGGAGCAAAGTCTAAAGCTATGACAGGCATGCTTGAAGTGAGGGTAGGTCATGGGAAAGAGCATTGCACTTACCAGTGGATTTGCTCTCAACAACTTTGGGAGACAAAATATCACCTGCAGGCTCATCTGCAATGTTCATTGAGTGAGGGTGTAAGAAAGTGACAGTGGAGTGAAGGTGGCCTGACTGCCCAAGTAAGGAAGAAGGTGTATTTCTGAAATGGAGGCATTATACTGATGAAAAATCATTAGAGTGGTGAAAGTCATTTGGCAGGATGCAAATTCTATGAATACAAGTGTGTGCATGACCTTTGAATAATATTAAGAGTGCATGTAGAGCATAGAGCAACACTCACTGAGACAGAGGCACTATAATAAAAATAATAAGAGTAGAGTGTATGGCTTTGGCTTAGACTTAGAGCAGCACACTTGTGTCATTTAAGTGTGAAGTCTTAGTTCTTATACTCACATACTATGCACTCCTCTGCAGCATGTCACTCAATTAAATACATTGAAGATATAATATATTAAGAGTGCTTCACACTACATTGATCTATAATGTGAACCCTGCTGATCCAGCAATCACTGAGAAACATCATTCTGAACAAAGAATCACAAAGTCCAAACTCTCTGAGGAGTTCTTGGCTGAAGAGAAATAAAACCCTTGACTCTTATGAAATATTAAACTAGAAATGATGGCATGGCAATCAATAAAATAAACCTTGCTCACTAGATAAATTGTGCAGCACTAAAATTGAATCTGCAGAGCCAATAAGAAGACACACACCACATGGAATAGCAGGGCTAGACCTTGTCAAGTGGAGAAAACAGCAGTGGCACATGCACTGACATAGAGTGCTGAATAAAATAATGATTACTATCAGTGCAGCTGACACGGCATGCAAGGGAAGGGAGTCCAAAGTGGAACATTGTCTATTTTCAGTATTTATATTTCATATAGTTAATGGTAAATATAAGAGCAGTAGTACATGTAGATAGGAAGTTTTTAGACCCCTATAGTTATACTACAAAGCAGTGCACTTAGTATATGACAAAAGGATTTTATTTGAAGCTTCAAGTGAAAGAATATTATTGAACTTAGAATTATTTTGAATACTTTGAGAGCTTGTGAGGCACTTTTTGCTCATGCATGCTCAATTTGTTTGAGTCAAGTACAGTAATTGATTGCGCTCTACTTAGAGAATATTGTATTGTGATAACTTGAATGTGCATATGTGTTTGTTAAGATTCTGCTGAAATCTGGATATGTGAGCATGAGGCTAGGAGTGGTGATCGAAGTGAGGTAGAGATAATTATAAGAGATATATATCATTAGAAAATAGAATGGATTCTGGTGAGAGTTTGTGAGGAGACCCGAGTAGTCCAGTTTGCGAGATAAAGGATACTAGTAAGTGCAAAGCAATTACTAGAGGAAAGTAGCTGGTAAGCATAGAGCAATTACTGATATAGAAAGCCTGTAATCATGATGCTATTACAGGCTATGGGTGAAGGCAAGCACTAAGGATAGCTGAGGGTTTATGCAGTGGTGGTAAGTTGAAAGTAATAGATTAGCTAAAGCTTTTAATACAATGTTATCTATAAGTTTATATACTAAGAGAAGGTTCAAGTCATTATTATTCTACAATGTTCCATGATATTCTAGTATAAGCATGAAGAATAGAGAAAGTAAGAGAAAGTATGATCAAGTCACCATTAAGACTGAGAAGGCCAAGTACAGGCATATGTTGACTCACACACTAAATCAACAGATACCCAATATCCATAACAGTGTTTTTGGAACTTGTTTGTAAATTCAGAGTTATTGCAAGTGGCAGAGGTTCAAATTCTTTGGCTTGTTAGTAATCTTTGAGGTTTTTAGTTTATTCCCAAGTGGCATAGGTTCAAACTCTGTGGTTTGTGGACATGTATCTGTGTCTGTTTGTCTCAGGATCACATAGGTTAGAACCCTGTGGATTTATGAATGGATTTTGATAGTGTTGCCACTGCTCAGGCTAAAACTGCTGAGTCGATGGAGCCAAGCCAGAAATGACTAAGCTGAGCCAGGATTATCAGCTCCTTAGCTTGCTGTAGCTTGGCTCAGTGTATTGTCAGCTTAAGCCAGCCCAAAGCTGGCCAAGCCAATAGCTTCATCCTAATCAGGATGCTGATATGTATGTTGGCATCATACTCAATTTCTTTCACCTTCACCATTGTTCATGGTGCACTTTCGCAATTTCCTGCCTCTTATTTGCCATATCGCTGATTCTATAATATATTTCAACATATTCTGTGTCTCCAGGCTGCTGTAGTCCCACACTGGTCTATTAACTGCTTTGGCCTTGACTCTCATATATCTATAAACACATTTATGCAGCAGCACACCTGCCAACTCCAAATAGAATCATTTTTTTTCTCCATTAAAACTCCTTCGCTCCCTCTGCACCTTCACAATGCACCCCATTCTCTGGATTCTTGTGGTTTTTTAAGGTCTGTGCCCTTGACACCAGTATATGTGTTGTTCTTGTATATAATGTCTGATATTTACTTCCACCTACTCACTCCTCAATCCTGTCATGCCTCCACATCTTTGAGGATTATGAAATATAATTCAAGGAGAAAAGACCTTGCCTGGTGGAGGGCTCAAAACCATGTTCCAGGTCAAAGGTTTTGTTAAAGATACAGGTGCTGCTTCAATCAGACATAGTCTACTCACAACTAGCCAACAGCATCAGGTAGCAATGCAAAGCCAGCCAAGAAAAAGGCCATGAAGAAAGCAACACAGAAATGTATGTCATATATTCATTTACTTGAATTTTAGCTGAACAAATCTGTTAGCTGCATAACTAAAACAATGTTTACAAAAGAAAAAATCCCCCGACATAGCTACTGACCATCCAATATCTCCAATGCATAAAAACAGGGACAGCATGCAAGGTTAGTCAGCACATCCACTCCACTTATCATGAAAAATGTTCTGAGTCAAGCATTGGTGGAGATCACAAGGGTAGTCCCCAATGTAGCCAACCATGCTATCAGGAGGACCTCACACCAGATGTACCTTTATTATTAACACACAAGTTTTACATGCTGTTGATCTGGATGGAGTTCTAACACTAGAGTATCATTTAGGCATTGTTGGATAGGAAGAAGATGATGAGAACCTTTTTGTAGCATTGCTGCTCCCACCATCATCACCATACACTCTCGAAGGTTCTGAAGATCCATTGCCATCAATGCCTACCCACACTGTTCCTGCAAACACAATGTCATATCAATTTGTTCATTTTAATCCACTGAAAACTCCATTATCTGCAGATGAATCACTCTCTTCAGTTCCAGGATCACTGGTGTCAGATGTGCAAAGTCTCTCATCATCTGATTCTTCAGGCTTGCCATCATCTGTGAGAGATAGTACTGGTTGAAATGCTGACAATGTATGGTCCTTTTATATTCAGGAAGGTGATAGCCATGTGTGTAAGCTGTGTCAGTGAGTAGTTGGTACTTTCTCTTATATGCTTACTTTCTCATCTGGTCATTAATGCAGGTGACAAACATAAGAAGAATGGTAAAGATAAGATATACAGTGTCAAAACTGGTATGACAGGCCTGCAATATCACCTCATCAAGGATCACTTGCAGCTCTGGGTTTCTGCATGTGACAAAATGGGAGTATTGGTCAAAGGAGCTGGGATTAAAGCTGCTGAAAGGTTCCACTGTCAGAATGGTACTGCCAGACTCACAGAGGAACCATTACCTGCTGATTCTTTTGTCATTCTGGAGTACTCCCATGATGCATTTGTTGATGCAATCATTGAATGGATAATTGTGGATGATTAGGTATGTACTTTCTCTTCATGGATGCTTTCAATCTCTTGAACAGTAACTCTCAGTCTATCAAATTGATTGAATGCCCACAGCTATGATGAATCTTTCTTATGCTCTGGGAAGAACTTAATGACTATGATATTCCTCATCACACATACATTTGGAAGTGTGTGATTGAGACATGGGAGAAGTACATAGCCACACTTAAAGGAGAGATAGAGGTGAGTGTATTTCTATGCTTTAATACACATGTTTCTCACTCATTTAATTGTAGTCATCCCTTGGCCAAATCTCAATAACAATGGACCTATCCACTGATCTCAACCTCATCAATTTTATGGCAGTTACAGCACACTGGATGGAAGCGATTGGGATCAATGCAGATGGTCTGACAATAATATGTCTCCACTCTGATCTCATTGGGTATTGCAGGGTTCCTGGTTGCCATGAGAGCAAACATTTAGCAGTAGCTTTCCTTTATATCACCAACCATGTTGGAATCACAAGTAGACTTCCAAACCATTAATTGAAGGTCTGTATTTTTAATTGCTGACTTGGAATATCATTTATACATGAATACACCAGCTGGGCTGGATTACAATGGACAATGCTGGAAATAATGAAATATTCATGGTGTTTCTCCAGCATGACCTTCAGCATTGAAGATATGTATTTGTTGCTACAGAGCAAAGAATATGGTGTGGTTGTTTGTTTCTATTTCAAATTTGAGTTGCTAAAATATTCCTATATCAGAGGTTTTGCACATATTGTTAATCTTGCCTGCAAGGATGTTATATCAGTGGTAACAGCATTAGATGCAGTCTTACTCTCAGGTTAGCTTTACCTATCAGTGTATTCCTTGCTTTCTCAAACCTGTTTTAGAACATCTTGACATTGTCCAGGATCCAATATTGACTATAAGAGCATTAATTCGTGTGATAAGTCGGGATCAATTGCTTAGAATTTTTTTATTGAATATAATTATAGATCTGTGTTTCTTCATTGCAACAACACAGCTTTGCCTGTGTTCTCAAGTCACTTGACATCAAGGTTCTTCAGCCTCTTCTGGATGTCAATGTTTGCTGGTCATCAATGGACATTATGATAGAATGGGCAATTTTATTATGTGAGGTGAATCCTCTCTCAGAATTGTTACTGAAGTCTGATATGCTAATCCATGTCAGGGTATCGAGAAGTTTCTAGAGAACAAGGATTTTGCAGAACTCTGAAAGCACCAGTTATCTAACAATGAATGGAAGGCCTTGAATATCATTCATCAAATTTTGGTGGTATATTTTATCACTGTTGATCACTGTTACTCTCTGAATTGTAGCATCTCAGGTACCACATGCATTTCAACAGAAGCTTTTTGCAGATAAGACACTAACTCTTACATTGGCAATACCCAGCTTCCAAAGAATGATGCAACTGTGGGAAGATCTCAAGATCAAATTTCCTGAGACTGCACCAGCCATTCAAGATAGTCTTAAGAAACTGAAGACCTACCAAGACCATACAGAGGTGGTACCAGCATACACCTTAGCAACAAGTAGGTTGATTTAGCATTATTCCACTCTTATGACACTGACATCAGCTTCTTAGTTCTCAATCCAAACACTAAGCTATGTTGGTTCAACTGATATGCCCCTGAGGATGAAGCTGACACCAAATCTTTTTATGGATAAGGTCTTTCATGAATTATTTGCTCATTCCCATCTCATTCTTTTTTATTGTGATCTAGCTTCATGAATATCATCATATTTCTGCTGTGCCACCTACTCCTGCTGGCCTGCAGGCTAAGGGTCATACCAATTGGGCAAATGATCTTCTCAGTGATAATCTATTTGATACAGCTGTTTATCCACAAAGCCTTGAAGCCAAAGTACAGGTCTATCTCTCTGATGTAAAGTGTGGCAATGACATGGTCAAGTACTGGCAGGTATGTTTACTATTGTGATGTGTTTGAGTTGTGTATTCATGTCAGAGTAAGATGATCAAAAAGTATATCTGACCATATTTGTGATGGCTATAGATATTCTACCCATTCAAGGTACCTCAGTTCCATGTGAATGAATTTTTTTGTCAGGAAAGGAGATGGCAACAGCTCAGTGCAACCAAATATCACCTGATCTGATGGAAGCATTACAGATGGTGAAGTATGCTTTTAAGCACAGTTATTCTCTTGATTTTATGCATGGTATGTCTAAGGATGAAGAGATAGCAGCTTTGGAGGCAACAATGACTGCTGAAGATGATGTATCAGAGGATGCAACAGCATTTATTGAGCAGCTGCACTGATATGCTGTCTATGCATTCACACCTAGATTTTATGATTTTATAACAATACTATCACATGTCTATCCTATACTATTTAAATAACAAGGGCTATAGTTGAGGTTTCGAACTGATAGTTGAGTTAGGACTTAGGAATGACACCAATAGTGGGTCAGACCTACCAGCTGACCAGACTAGTGCCTCTTAACTAGTAAGACTCAGTAAAATATGGTCACTAGTAATGAGTGCAGCTGCTAGCACCCAAACAAGAAGGAAGAACCCACACAGACCTCAACCATTCAGTCACTAGTGGACCGATCTGGGCATGAATGCCTAAGTCAAGATAGCTAGTCACATGAGCACTTCAGATGGGACTTAGAAATGAATGAGTAAAGACATAACCCTTAGCCCAGATCTGGCTAGTGCGATCCAGATCTGAAATGATCGGGACTAGTATAGCCAAGGTGCGTTCTGATCATGATTGAGCAGTTGCTACAGGCACAGTGAAGAGGCTCTGTGCATGCCAAGCTTGAAATGCGATAGCGTAGACACACTAAACACACCCACTCTCACACTCACACACACAGAATCTCAGTAGTTCAGGGGAGATGTGCGATGCAAGCACACAATAACAGTAGAATTAAAAGATCTCTTGTGCTCTTCAAGATATAATAGCGTGCTAGCTCAAAAGAATTCTCTAAGTCCAAATACTTTTAGGACAGGAGGTGAGTGATATGTATCACTTGGCCTTGAGGCGAAAGTAATATTTCACAAGCCCACAAATGTCCCACAAGAACATACAACCCTCAATTGACATTGCGCACAACACACAGGTGGCCACAACCTGTCAAACAAATTACACACAACTTAAAGCTTCGCGCTCTAAGCAGAAAACACTTCAAAAACCTTTCATAGATCCACAGGGTTCAAAGCTATGCAATCCAGAGACACAGAAACACAGAAACACGTCCACAAGTCACAGGGTTTGAACCTATGCTACTTGGGAATAAACCAAAAACCCTCAAAGAGTATTGACAAGCCAAAGGGTTCGAACCTCTGCCACTTGCAACAACTCAGAATTCACAAACACGTTCCACAAACACAAATGCACATTCAAGTTATCACAATACAATATTTCTCTGAGTTGAGCACAATCAATTACTGTCCAGAATCAAGCTAGGCATCATGCATGAGCAAGGCATGCCTTGCGACCTCTCAAGCATTTCAAAATAATTCTAAATCCAATAATATTCTCTCACTCGAAGCTACAAACACAAGTCCTTTGGTTGCACACTAGGCTCTCTGCTTTGTGTCACAACTGCAGGGGTCCGAAAGCTTTCTACCTACTTCTAATTACCATGCTTTTATCTACAGCTGATTATATAAATAGAAATATCAAAAATAGATATGCTCTACCCCAGAGCCATTTCCTCTCCATGACACATCAATCGCATGGTCACTAATTAATATTCTGAGTCAATCATCCAAGTTAGTGCTCGGTAACATGCTGCTCATTCCACTTGGCAAGGTTTAGAGTTGCCACATCATGTGGAATATTTCTCCTAATTGGCTCCTTGTTTTTAATTCCTCTGCCATGCACATCGCTAGCAAGCTGGTATCTTTATTTGGCTGCTGCACCACCTTTTCTTAGTTCAATATTTCATTCTGGGTACAGGGTTTCTCTCATGTCAGCTGAAATCCTCTCAGGAGGCTCGGACTGGGTGGTCCTCAGTTCTGAATGATGTTTCTCAGTGATTGCCAGATCGGCAGGGTTCACGCATTATAAATCAATGTTGCGTGAAGCTCCATTAATATATTATCTTCTCAGTGTATTTTATTTGAGTGAAGCACTGCTGAGGGATGCATAGGGTGTGAGTTAGGCACTGTGACTTCACACTTAAATGACACCAGTGTGCCGTTCTAAGTCTAAGCCATGTGCTGCACTCAGATTATTTTATTATATGCTGCCTCTGCCTCAGTAGGTGCCACTCTATGCCGGCTATGCATTATAATATTACTTAGTGGGTTGACACATGCTTGAACTCATAGAATTCACAAAATTACACATATGCAAGCATTGCGTGTGTGTCAACAGTTGTCCAACTATTCATTTAGCCACATCACTAGTAGAGCATGGTGGGGCAAAGAGTACAGAAAAGACCCATACCAGAGTCCTTAGACCTGCTATCTGACAGAAAGACCAGTCTAGGCTGACTATTGCATGACTATTCACCCTTATTCATGACTAGCCAAGATATTCTTATCAATATTACTCCTATGAATCTACTTATATTTATCCTGTGCCTTTCTCTGCAGTATATAAGTAGTAGAAGGGCAGCCTAGCAAGCTAGGCAAGCCATCCCCAATATTGTGCCCACTAGTAGTGTCTAGTCCCCCAATAGAAGGCTTTTGTGCTTAACCTCAATGAAGTGTCTACTAGTCACTTAGTCACCTATAGTATTGAACAAATTGAAGTGTCTTAAAGTTGCTATTCTGCCTTGGAGTGACTCAGAGTATTTTGAAGTTAGTTAAAGTATTTGTTCTTAGGCCAAGAGTGCCACTAGTCAAGCCTAGGATGCTGCTAGTCAAGTGTAGACTGCTTGGTGATTTGTGTAGAGTAGTAGAGGGTTTTGGTATTGTGGTATTCATAGCCATTCACTAGCCTTTTGTCACTCACCATTACTGAGCACATCAGCACTCCAAAAAATAAATTGCCCCAATACATTTTCTAATTAGTAACTGAGCAGAGGGTTTTTCCATAGCCAAGCTCAAGCCAAGTGAAGCCATCAATCTTTTTGTATGGAATACAAGACTGGTACGCTCTATTTCAAATGGAGTGATGCGCAGAACCCCTGACACTGCTCCTTGCAGTATATAGATATGTTCCTATGCCTTTCATTAATTAACATTCTTTTCAAACCCCGAATCCATAATTGGATATGGTACTCTCATAAAATTCCTGGTGCCCAAAGCAATGCCTTCTTTTCACCAGGTTCCGGGTCAATGTCTGCTTCTTTAGGTCTTCCATGGAACAGTTGTGACTGTCACTCCTAATGCAACCTGTAGAACGACCAAAAGACAGACAAACAGATACAAAACTGGGATTAGCTAAGCACGCCTTTAACTTGAATTCCAGTATATAGCAGAGTCGACCAATACAACAGTCTTACAGTCTTCCAGTACCGGCAGGTAGGTCACCTTGGGTCTTTTTTTTTTTACCGAGGAAGCAAGCATGTAAGAATCATACGGGCATTGCTATGAGCTCTGTGACTTTGTTAAGCATGTTCTCATTGATACACGTGCGGATAAGACAATTACAACCCGTAACTGCTGACCGGGGGCAAGTGCGCTGACCAATATCATACATGCCTTGAGGCTTGTACTATCGATCGATGGAAAAGTGCAACCGAGAATGTCCACCCATAGCGTTTTCATCAATTCTTATCCATTCCTCTCAAGAATCCGTATAAACAATCCCAAAGACCCATACTCCACTTTATGTAAATTCTCGCCGTCCTTGGAACACCTTGCAGGGAAGGTCCGCCTAAGGCGTAGAGGAACGAGTTGAACTAACCTTGCGTAAAACTCACTGTGGCCCAATTATCTACTAGCACATCATGTCGACATTCTACGCACGTTTTCAAAGTTTAAAACAACCCGCTAGTGATACATTTTCGAAGTCAGCAAAAGGTGGCTCGGACTGATTCTTCCGAGAACAAAGAAACCATATCTCTCTAGTGTGTCGATAGCTTAAAGGCATGACCGGTGACAAGTAAAAATGCCACAAGGATGTTACTGAGTGACATCAATGTCAGCACCCAGCTTCGAAATTTCGTAGGCTTCGACTTCCCCCACTTTGGTGGATGTTGCGTACAAATTATACAAAGTGGCATCGCATGAATATTCATTGACATTAATGGATCTCAATTTTGCAGTTCATAGATTCAGTTCAGTTTCCTGTCAAGCAATTCAGCGCCAAAACCGGTGCGCTTTTCACGCATAAATCATTAGAGAAGCAGGGTCAGATCGACCTCATTTATTGTAGCTACTCGAAGCAGAGAAAAGGGTTCAAAAGCCAAATCAAGCCGCAAAGAATACCATGTAGTGTGGTCAAGCCGGATCAAGTGGCATATACAAGAAAGCTTTGAACTCCACAGCTACACCTCTTTCTACTCAGCACATACAAGAATACCGGAGTCAAATTTCTCTGAGTCCAATCATTAACTGAAATATGCCGAATCTCATGAGTGCAAACCACATTGACCAAGTCGAGCTGGTAGATCTGACCGCACACGTGAATGTTGTCCGGTGACGTGCTGAACGCCTCTTTCCTTTCTACTACCACCATCCCTGTCGCCTTCCAGCCTATTCGCCGTCTTCACTGTCGCCCTACACCCGGATCCTGTATTATCGCAGGATATGGCTTCACACTCTCACTGCTATAGCCTCCTCATGTTGGCCTCTTACTGGCAAACTGACACGAAGCCTAGCGATACAATTCTACAGATTGAAACTGCCATGAAAGGGTGGATATATGCGCTTGGTTCGGACACCCTCAGCAGCAATACGTCCTTGGGAATCTCGTTTGAATAGCAGGACATCTGGATGCCTCTGAGGTACGTCTCGTTGTGCTCTTGTTTTTCGATATTTAAGACATACAGTCGCCCTATATGCCATCTATGCATCACTTGGGTGTGGTCATGGTACGTCCTCCTTCATACATGCATATATTTCTGGGCTCGCTAAATCTAGGTCACGCTTGCTACTATTGTTTTCGCTCACTTCTTTTAGTAACCATAGAATCGTCGTTCCTATCAATATGTACTGATTTAATATTTTCTAATGCTTTCTATTTTGATACTATCTTCAGGCCGGGAAACCCAATTGAAGCATCCAAGCAGGACAGAAGCCAGCTGTAGGCGCAGTGGGAAGGGTACCGTAGACCAACGCTGTTGTGTAGCGTCGTAGGATTTGAATCATTTCATGTACATTAATAGTATAATAAAATAATAATAGCAATGAGATCGAGCCCTACGAAGCCTAATGGAAAACCCATGACATACCAGGCTCGAAATAGCTCGATCTGAGTTGGTAACCACATCGAGTGGAGTGAGGGCACATCCATCATTTCCTCCTGGCTTGATTTGGCTCAGAACGCCTCGACCAACTTTTCACTGGGATATATCAATGGTGAATCGCTGATAGTCTGGAAGCGGACATGGTCACACTAGGTAGACGTGTGCAAGCCTATTACTGTCCCTTATGCATTCTTTCCATGACCTTGAGACAAGTTCTGGCAAGGCTCCCTGATGCTCTTTCATTTGGTCAGCAGAGCATCGAGCTCGAGTATGATATTTCAAATTTTGACCTGATCGAGGGGCACAGCCACTTATCACATCAGGACAGAATGGAATGTCGTAGGAGAATGAACTTGAATCACCAAGAATGATGGTATGGGATAACCCAACGACAAGAAGGACACAGACGAAGCCACCAAGCCCTGTAGTAGATCTGGAGCTACAGGCTGCACATCGACATCATTTCACAAACACCTACCGACAACTGGACACTCATTCTGGAGGGAGCCTGCCAGCTTCACACATGGGGAACAAAAGTGTGAGTAGACTAGGCAGTAAGATTATACTATGGAATCACAACATCAGTAGTCTTAGTGTACTTTGCCCCGCATTGTGGTCCGGAATACCAGTCTAGACCTTCATCTTGCAATTTCTTGTTGCGTGACTCTGATTGTGGAGCATTGATCTATCATCATCGCATTCTAAAGGCTTGTGGTTCCAATTGTCGTCTCCCAAAAATTCTGAATTCATTGCATCGGTCTTCCTGCCGTAGCCGATATAAGGGATGTTTCTAGTTGCTATAAGGTGCGTGAATAATTGGCAGTTCTTCTTTCACTTTGCCTGCTGTCGTTCACCTACATTGGATTTAGTTCCAGTGCTTCCCGTTGTGCGTGAAGAAGCTGTGACATATGGTTCCGTGAAGCGATCACCGGTCATGAACTTCGGTCCTTGTTGCCCAGCCAATCCGAGCACTGATGACGCATGTTCTCTTATTCTTGATACTGCTTCCTAAGATATCAATTTTAAACTCCGTTGTGCCCGGCTATGCTAATTTCATATATGTCACGTTATTCGGCCATCAGAAGATGTCGTTCCCCGTTAAACTTACATCACTTTTTGTCTCAACCCCCACTAGCGTTTTGTGACACGTCTATAATTCACTTCTAATTCATATTTGATGCAGGCATGTCGTCTTAGGCCCTGGAGTACATCCTAACGTGCAACGATTTATCACTACTAATTGACCGCTGTAGAGCCTTCGAAGCCACGTACCATTTGTATATCTCCTGAAGGCGATGAAGAAAGCACAACAGAATCATCTGATGATTCAACCGATGAAGAACCAGACTTTCGCAATACGTGCCCCAAGGTTAACTTGGAGTTGCTGTCACTGAGAGACTTTCATACAGGCATCAGCCGAACGTTGAAGAGAAAGGCCGAGGTTGGTTGACACTTATCGTGGAGTACCATTTCAACTCAGTTGACGACATGCAGGATACTCCAATTTCAACTGGATCACCCAATTAAGAAGCCTCGTAGTCGGTGAGAATTCTACACCCATATGTAAAGACTAATTTTTCAGTCGTTGTTTAGCAGCGGGTCTTTATCTGACAGTTCCCATGGTGATATAGAGCTGGAAGTTGGAACAAATGAGCCTGATGAGTTGTTTGTATTTTTCTATCTCTTAGAAAGTTTGTGAATGATTCTTTATAGAGTGCTGGTCTATCCTTGGGGGACCACCGGTGGTGTAAATATCGGATGAAGTGACCTTGATCGCTTGAAACCAGGTGTCTATCTGAACAATAACCTTATAGAGTTAGCACTATTGTACATATCTATCAAGGTGTTCTTTTTTTGTGTCGACATTTTTTTACAGGCTCTCGCACGAAAAATTAAAAGAAAATAATCCTGCAATCGCAAGTGAGATTCACGTTTTTAGTCCTTTTTGGTACCCAAAGTTCAAAAAGTACGGCGTTTTCTCATTCACATACCTCGGACTTGCTCAAATGTTTGTAGAAACTATGACGATGTATGCCATTGGACATCAAAGATTGATATCTTTGCCAAGATGTACTTGATCGTACCGATACACCGAGGGTATTTAGTTGACGCCTGTTTCAGAGGATTGACCATGACCATCTCCCCTAGCGTCCATTGGTACCTTGCTATCGTTTACAATCCAGGGCGTATGATTTTGCCTGCTGAAACAGGGAATGAGACGTTACTCGAACCTGACGTTGAAGGTGAACAAAGGAGTAATTCTGAAACACGACAAGCTAAAGACGATGACATGTAAGAGTATTTGCTTATGACATCAGATTCATTGTTTGACTAGTCATATTTCAGAACACAGATTTTTACACTGGATTCGCTGGGCTCCAAACATGGGGGTACCTTGACGGCATTGACCAAATACCTTGTTCTCGAAGCATTGGACAAGAAAGGAGTGCGGAACATGATGCAGCCCATCACGCAATCTGCCTCTGTAAGTGTCAGAACAGAAAAAGGCAAGAAGCTTATTGATAGAACAGGTGCCAAAGCAAACGAATTCTTACGACTGCGGTATATATTTATTGCACTTCGTGGAAACATTCATGTCAGACCCATCAAGGTACTGTAAAATCATGGTAAACAATTCCTCTATGGAGCGCTATCTATCAGTGATGTTATCTGTCCCTTTTTTTCAGTCAGATTCAACTTTAACCGACAACACCCTGATCTGGGAAAGCGAAAAAATTACCACCTTCAGGGAATGTTTACACGCTCAGATCTTAGAACTTTCAGAAGCATGGTGGGCTTACATAGGAACAAAACCCAAGGATGATGCTCTGCTGGACTCACCTGGTTTCGTTGAGATTGTTGACCATAAATCAGTAGGCCCTTAGACAAGGTTCGCAGTTGTTTCAAGTCTTCAATGCATTTGGTTTGAGTTGCCATTTTTGCCTTATATAGCCCCACTTGCAGAACGACATCCGCAATATCTTCATCTCGGTCGGAAGTCCACTTTATCTCTGGTATCTAGCGTCACACCTTTTCACTGGCACGAGATTCTGGTGGCACGAAGGATTTAAGGTTGCACTACGTTTCGATTCGCCTGGTTTTATGCCTGCCTGTTCCTTTCTGCTTCCACTACCATTACAAAGAGCAAGATAGACTGCGGTTCCGTCTTAGATACATTAGAAATTTTTCTTTAGTTGTCTTATTTCATCCAGATTCACTGGATTTGCAACGGGGCTTCTCTGACTTAAGAATAGTCATTGTCTTCTTTCGATGTCTGTATGCTTATATGTGTATTTCGAAATACCGAAGTCTATACTTGCATATGTTGCAAAAAGTCCTCTAATGACATCTCTAACCTAGGCGCCTCTCCTGATATTTCAAAATCCTCCTCACCCGATTGTTCACTTAATTCTCGACTGTTCTCAACTTCTTCACTCCTCCGTGGCTCTGATTATCGCTTTATTAGACCTTTCAAATGAATGACAAAATGTGAGTGAACATACTTAGCACCAAAGGGTTATTCACGTCCTCTGGGGTTTCTTCATCGTAGTTGTTATCGATGAAGAAATCCCATTCATCTATGGTGATGATGTTATGCTCACGAAACTTGCCCAACAGTCCAAGATATATATCCCAGACACAGTCTTGTCTTATTTCGGGATTCCCAAGCTCATTCATAAAGACCTCGGCACATCGCCAAAATGATTCTGGGACCAGTTCCAACACAGGATGATCAGCTGGTGCATAAAGTTGCCTTGCAGTCTGAATGGAATCAGGGCTGAAAGTGACCTAAAAATGGACTTTCACAAATTGTTGGAGATGAATCTGTTTAGCTCTACCTTGTAATCTTGAGCGTCGAATCGCTCCGGGGCCTGCTCGATGAGCAACAGGACGCCATTTGGACGGGCTACCTTTCGATTGTGTCTTTTTTTGGTTGTGTTGTTTTTGAGGACATATTCATCCAGCTCATGTTGTAGCCAAGGAATAAAAATGTAACGAAATACCAAACTGACCGATATGTGAGCTGCTATGCATGAGAAAAGAGAGACTAATGCTTCCAAAGGGACCTTCGGATCATACCATCCTTCTTCCACACCGAACTGGAGGACACCCTCATAGCCGAAGCTAAAAGTCGCACGGAGTACACTCCAAACTATCTCAGACAGGATATTCTTCTTCTCTGCCATCCAACGGTGTTGTACGGTATTAGATAACTCCGGATCAGCCCATTGTCGCAAGAAAGTGTGAGCCCGAGCTACGTTTCCATTTTCATTACCGACGTCACTTTGAGTCAGAAGCGGGCCATCTGCAGAATTCCTGAGCTCTAAGATGCGAAGGTGACATTGTTGTACTCACATCCAAGATCTTCCACGACATCCAAGTAATATTTGCAAATCAAAATCGGATTCGAATTATTCCACCATATCTTCATCCATTTTATGACCCCAGTAAATGGATCGACACCAGCGTGAAGACAGAGACCAAATCGGTATTTCCACTTGTCGTGTTGATCAAAGCACCAACGGTCATTGACACCGGCACAATAGAATACTTTTCGCACTATGCCCTTTTGAAGTCGTCTGGCGATGAGCGCGGGCTCATTCGCATGAGTCCACTCCTTGATTGTCTCTCTGCCTGCCATGTTAGTGAGGGCGTAACAGTGATCACAGCTGGAGGATGAACCTAGAAACGTTGATACGCCGTCTACGTGTTCACACCTAGATTTTGTGATTTTATAACAATACTGTTGCAGGTCTATCCTATACTAGTCGTATATCAAGGGCTATAGTTGAGACTTCGGACTGATAGTCAAGTTAGCATGCTACTAGTCGGGTCAGGACTTAGGAATGATACCACTAGTGGGTCAGCCCTACCAGCCGACCGGACTAGCACCTCCAAAGCTAGTATGACTTAGTAAAATACGGTCACTAGTAAAGAATACAGCTGCTAGTGCCCAAACAAGAAGTAAGAACCCACACAGATCTCAACTATTCAGTCGCTAGTGGACCGATCCTGGCATGAACGCCTAAGTCAGGAGGACTAGTCACGCGAGCACTTCTGAAAGGACTTAGAAATGAACCAGTAAAGGCATAACCCTTAGCCCAGATCCGGCTAGTGTGATACAGATCTCATACGATCAGCACTAGTATAGCCGGGCTGCACCCTGATCACGATCGAGCAGTTGCTACAGGCACGGTTACCCGACTATTCGTATAGCCGTGTCACCACTGGGCAAAGGGTGCGGAAATGACCCAATAGCGGAGTCCCTCGACCCGCTATCCGACAGAAAGAACAGGCTAGGCTGACTATTGCGTGATTATTCACCATAATTCGTGACTAGCCAAGATATCCTTACCAATATTACCCCTAAAGAATCTATTTATATTTATTCTGTACCTGTCTCTGTAGTATATAAGTAGTAGAAGGGGCAGCCTCGCAGCCAGGCAAGCCATCCCCACGATTGTGACCTACTAGTCCATATTCTAGTGCCCCAATTTAAGGCTTTTGTGCTTAACCTCGACGAAGTGTCTACTAGTTGCTTAGTCACCTATAGTATTGAACGAATTGAAGTGTCTTAAAGTTACTATTCTGTCTTGGAGTGACTCAGAGCATTTCGAAGTTAGTTAAAGTATTTTCTCGGAGTTAAAGTATTTGTTCTTAGGCCAAGAGTGCCACTAGTCGAGCCTAGGGTGCCGCTAGTCAAGTGTAGACCGCTTGTGAGACCCAGTATTTGGCCCAGAGTGCCACTAGTTTTGAAGTATCAGAGTTAGACCGAGCGCAGTTGCTCAACACAAGTCACTATTCATCCAATCGTGTCTTAAAACCCTGCTAGCGCAAGTATTACATCTTGTGTAGCTCACTAGTACCAAATATATGTCTTTAAACAACCTTTCCCTGATTTGTTGAAGTCTGCAGATAGAAAGAGTAGATTGTGGTCGATTCGTAAATGTTTCTTCAATTCAAAGAATCCTGCCTTCGGGAAATGCTCCCTCAACTCTTCCATAGGTTCAGCGATCGTTTCAACGGTGTGCCTTTGCTGCCTTGTGCTTAAAAATCCCATGTGCTTCCTCATTCTTTTGAAGCTGGATAGGCTGAGCGAAACAATGTGAATAATATGAAGCAGTCAAAAAGTTGAACTTGCCCTAATGAGTACTTTGACATATCGAAAACCTTCTGTAATTCTTCGCACATAACGATGTCGCTCATACCCCCTTCCATCCTCCATAGCACCTCCAATCTAGGTCTAATAAGTTCTTCTGGAACTGGTTTTTGTTTCAATTTCAACAGGAACCTGGAAAGCTGCAACTTACCCAGCGGCAAGTACTGATTGGGCATGTTTAACGAACTTCGCAAAGAAAGTCGGAATACGAACTATAGAAAGTGGGAGGTCTGGTCTCTAACTTTGTCAGGACCAAATAAAGATGCACTGCGGAACGGAGGTTGTGGAAGTCCTTCATGAATTTCAAAGGACTATTGCTTGCTGCACACGATACGTAGAATGGAAGTACTTCTCCGTAACTTTGATGGACAGTCTCGTAAATGATTGCTTTTTCGAAAATGATGAAACTAAAAAAGTTTACAATGGACCAAAGATGTCACCGGCAGGGAGCCCTGCCTTTTATGATGACAGTACCCAAAAAACCGAAAATAGCGGTACAAAACAGATTTCCTCTTAGCTAAAATGGCTACATAGGTTTTCAATAATAATTTAAAAAATACAAAGCCTTATGGAAAAAGTTCTTCCCGGAAAAGCCGCAAATAGATATATAAGCCAGAGAGAACGGAAGGACATCTCCACACTTTCATGGATGATCCTCTCAATCTTGACATCGCTCAAACCCTAAACATGGTTGAAAGCAACTTATCCATTGTCGCTTTCACCATCACAGGAATTTTGCTAGTCATTGGTAAGGTTCATTGTTTGAAATGGGCAATCAAGGGTCACGAATTTAGGAACCTGCTGCTACCGACGAACTAACCTTCTACATTGCGTTATATTCATATCGCAACTGTGTTTTTACCGAGGTAAATAGTACATGTAAACTTGGAGTCCTTTATACTGAAACTTCCTCTTTTTTAGGCCCGGTATCGGTCCGCAAACCTGCTGGCGGTACTGAGAAAGCACATGATGGCACAGGTTATACAATTTTTATCCAAGGCCTTTCTCCTCGTACTCTGCCCATTAGTAAGTGACGAGAAACGAAGATTTGAAGGTCGGTGTTGATATTACATTCCTAGGGGTAGACAACGATTTCACTGTACGTGATGTCCTGAACGTACTCCAAAAACGTCTTGCCATGGAACCTCAGGCAGGGTGCACATTGTCCGCTCCGTTTAAATTGTATGTTGCAGGGAGATGGAGACCTCTTTTGGCCGAAGAGACGTTGGATTCATTGAATGTCCGGGACCTTTCGAACTTCTACATTTGGTACCTTCTTCCAGGGAGGTGCAGGTATGCGTTATTCTTAAATAATTGTCGGGCAAAGCTGAATTCTGGAAAGACCATGCAGATGTGTTCGACGTGACCTTCGCTCCCGATCTGAGTCCAGATCATTGTCAATACATGCGTTGTAAAAAGCGTTCCGCAACAGGAGAGCCCTACAAATTCGAGCCTAATGAAGAAAAGTTCCAAATTGAAGCCTGTCTCGCTGTGGATGGACCTGCTACTTTAAGCAAACTTGGGACTCAGACCTTAACGTTGACTACCTGCCGTGCTTGTGCAGGTCTCGCTGCTCGGAAAAGTATGTCCTTGGTTTCATTTGTTGGATTCTATTACTGAGATATTCATTTCATATAGATGCTGCTACTCAACGTGCTAGAGAGGTGTCCAAGAGTGTCGATGGACGAGCTTCCTCTTGTGAGAACCTTTTTGTTTCTGTCAATCAATACTTAAAATTGTCTTAGCAACTACAAAGCTATCTCCAGCTGTTTCGACCGTATCGCGAGCAGAGCTACAGAAAGTTCTCGAGGCAAAGAACAAAGCGGAAGCCGCAGCCGACGTTCTCTTAAAGCTTTTCCAGCAAAGTCTCACATCTTCTGGAGATGTCTTTATGATCCCTGATGCTGCCAAAATTGACCGTTGCATAAACGATGCTAAAGCGAAAGGTATGCATCTCAACTCAGCATTCTAGTTTCCTTCCCTGAATTCCTGCCATGTTAAGGAGCTCGCCCAGAGGCCAGGTTGCCAGTTGCAGTACCCTCCGGATTAAAGAAAGGTTCCTTAAGGACTGGCTATTCAATGGCTCACATTCGACACCAAAGTGACACCCAAAAGTATCGTCGATGGGCTGTAGAGGGCCAAAGTGGTGAATCGGCTAAGGTATTCATTCAGGTAAAAAGAGAAAATGGCACTAAAAAAGGACTTTCTTTCTGGGTATGGAATCCTTGTTACGTATTTGTTTTCAAAATCCTCACTGTTGGCAGAACATACAATGGGGTGTGAAGTTTCCGCCTGCAACTTCCCGCAGCGACATCACAAACCTTGTCCTTGAAAGCTTGTTGATTATCATTCATGACCACCTGAAGGTCCAAGGGTTTTCTTTCGTCGCTGGGGATTTCTTTCTGGTTGATTCAGGGTGGACCCCAATACTTGATGGGGATCCTGACGAACCAACTGAGTTGTTTTACAAAGGTCTGACAAACGGTGGAAAGAAAGGAATAGGTGGGATCAAATTCGTTCAACCTGCCCAGGAAAATTGGTACATGGTCATCAAACCTGCTACCGCTGACAAATATGACCTTTGGTCAGCTGAAGGTGAAATTACCCTGACAGTTAGTTCCTTCATTCTTTTATGGCTGGTATTAACTGACACAAGCTACAGTCTACGCCTGTAAAGAGAGCCATAAGGAAAAGGAAGGGTGCAGCTATCTCTAAGCCATCAATTGTATGTTATGTTTCTGCCGCTTTGTCAGCTTGCTAATGATCATATATAGTGTGACTCCGAGGTCAGTGAGCGAGCTATCTATTATAATGGTGATTTTAGCCCTGGAAAGAACACTCTGTTTTACGATTCCGAGGTATCAGTAGCGACAAGACCTCCACCATCAGTATCATTGGTACGAACGAAAGTGTCTAGATCTCCGCTGAGGCTGACATATTTCTTTAGGGACATGACCAGTCATCTTCCTCCTCGAAATCATCTTCGAAATGATCAGTAAGCCCTTCCTCATTCTGCCTCTTTCCTTGCTAAGTCCAACAAAGCTGTCTCCATCATCGGACTTCGAGGGAGGGCAAAAGCATGTCTGTCCTGATATTATGCCAAGTGTATGCGAAAGGTGGTTCAATGCCATTCCAGATATCATTCAGAAGGGAGGGACGTATGTAGAGGTTCAACCTCAACCGGGTAAGTTCATTTCATTGAAAATCTCACCGATACTTATAATGTGACTAGGAAAGCCAGAACATGTGGTTGAAATATGCAATATCCCTCAGTTGCGATCTGAGATCATCACCAGACTGAATTTCACCTTTCATTCTCAAACCAGAGGTCATATCTACATGGACTGGGCTGAAGGCCCTGAGAAACGCCTCGGGTCAGGCTCGTTTAAGACCACGCACCACGGTATCCTGCAAGTCGGCATCGCCTTGCATGAAGTTCAACTTCCGCAGGCACTCCAAGGCAATGTCTGTATCAAGCATCCATATCAAGGAGTTAACAGGAGCGGAGATGTCAGGAGGGTCACCGAAAGTTTCGAAAGAACTTGCATCCTTCGAGAGGCAAACACCATGTTGTGGGCGAATGCTTTACATGACATGAGCCTCGATATGGTACTCAGCAAAGCACCCTCCCTTGGCACACCTTCTGGGCCAATCCCAGATCTTCGCTTTGTGGAGGCCGCAGTTGTGATGAATTTGAAGCCTGATTCTGTCAAACCAAAGGATTGGCATGGATTTTGTGCCCTGGTGGAAAGGCTTTTGCCAGAGGATGACTTCGTCAAATACGTGTGCAATGGCACACCTCAGCCTATCGACTTGGGCTCCGACAAGCAACATCGTATTGCGGTGTTCCTATGCTTCTTGCAACATATTCAGTATCGTTTCACTAAGGAGAAGGCATTTGTTTCGGATTACCAAGGTATTTTTCTCTCAAGATTCTCAGCGATCCGTGATTAACTTTTATCAGGAGCAGGTTCCTGGTTGACCGATCCGCAGGTTATGGCAAAATCCGAGTACGTCACATGTGCTACAGTATTAGAATAGCTCTAATTCGTTTCCAGAGTCGCAGGACAGCAGCTTTTTGTGGACGGAAATGTGGATGGATCCCTAGAACATTTTGGACAACACCATCTTTGCAATGCTTGGTGTCACTGGTTCGAACTACCCGAATTCTGAAGATCGCTTCAAGTGAAGCCAGTAGAATATATTCAGTAGTGAATACCAAAGTGATGTTTTGCAAAAATCACTTGCTGCGAAAAGTAGACTTAAAACAAATGAGCTTTCAGTAAAGGGTAAGAGAAGTTATTTCTGTTGGGATTTGCAACTTCAAGCTTAAACTAGAAGATTCCCGAAGCTTCGGCTTACTCATTTTGTCATGATACTTAGATATATTTAGTACTTTTGGTAGAATATTCTAGATACATTGTGTAGTATATAAGGAGCTCATTAGGAGCTCTAGTAGCTAACAATTCAGTATTATACCTACTGCAAGCCTCCTACTGCAATAGTTCCAACAATTTCGGACTGAAGAAAGATTTACCACGCCACATTGGAATAATATGTATCGACAATAACACGTTCTTGTCTGACTATCCAGCAAATCTGATGTTCCTAGGAAGAGCCGACAAGCACAACTGTCCAAAATACCTTTATGTTTGTTTTCAGGGAGAAAGGTGAATGAGAATTTTTGAAAAGTTGCCCTACAGCGTCTTTGTACACCATTTTGAGCACGCACCAAAGAGTCATATGGAGGAAAATGCAGCCAGAACATTACATAAGCAACTAAGCTAGGTAAAGGTTGCATCGCAAACACTACGTAGCCAGGATATGCAAAAACCTGACAAAGCATTTTCTGTAGTGCATTAGTTCCCATCTCCAACTAACTTAGCTATATACAGGAAAACATGTTGCGAACACGTGATCTTTTTTTAAAGGTGCTACGAGCAGCAGAGTTGGCCTTGGTAAGATGGTGAGTGAAAAGTGTCAAAAATTCAATATATGTAATTTCATATCATGGGCCATCACAGTGAGTCCTGAACGAGCACCTTGTCATGCCTTTTATCTTTGTTCAAGAGCTTCCGTACTCTCTGTCACCCCGAAAAATTGTCAGACAAGGGATATTATCGCTATAGCACCTTTAATGGTCTTTCCCAGCCATTAGCATTCTATTATACACAGTGATAACCCATTTTCGGTACTGTCTTCCATCCCATGCACGAAAATTCGGATTTCCAACTGTTGTGACATTTTGACATACATAATTTCTAAGCCCATGAATTTAATGAGGTAGGGGGTGATTCAAAGTAATTGTAATGAAACCTGCCTGAGATTAAAAGAACTTCGTCTGTGTGGATGTTAGATGATTAAGCTGGTTTGTCAGCAAGCAATTTGAAATTTGTTCATCGGGCTCGATGTGCCCTCAGGCTGGGTTCCACTATCATTTGGGAACCTCTTATGGGCTACTGGAGAAATCACTTTTCAATATTCACTCTCAGTCTAGAGTAGAGAGCAGCTGATCCCACACAACCATTGCTGCAAGATGCTTCGATTTTATCTTAAACGCAGTGAAGCTGATTTTCATCTTTCGTGCAAAATGTGCACTTAATATGGCTCATTGAGTAGCATCGACAGTTCGCTATACTGCTAATTTCACACAGAACGGCTTCATGTAACCCACCATTGGAGAAAAGCCAGTAGTGAAGGACGAGAGATTGAGTATGCAGAAGCAGAGGCCCTTACTCTTTAAAAAAAATCTGATGAGTAAGATATGTGTTGTGATCTCACATGCTACCATATGCTGGGATTATGCTACGAGAATGTCTCTGGTCCAGCGAGGCCCTTTTGTTACCTTGCCTGTCAAGGTCTTCGATTGCTGCTTACAAAGGATACCAAGTAACATGATATTATGGCAAACTCCAAATCCATCGACACTACAGTCCTCGGTGCAATCTCGGAGGTGAACTGTTCAAAACCACCAAAGGTATGGGTGTGTTTGCAAACGCTCATTCTAATGATATTCCTTCACTCTTTTCAATTGGTTATCCACCCATCAGACTTCAAAGAGCCAGCAGGAAAAGAAAAATGGAAGGCTAATGATATGAATAAGCCTTCTGCCACCAAAAGAGCTCGCATGTAAGTCGTGTCTGCTCCCACCTTATATCGTTATTTCAGCAATTCATTGGCATCAATATGTATACCGAAGTAGACCACTAGGCAAGGTATCAAAGTCATCAATGACGACCACTAGTATATATTGCCACAAATAAATCTTTTCTTGGGGCAATAAAGAAACTCATGACCTTTCCAGGTCATCTTTTTCAGGATCTGGATGTCCCCCAATATAGAATCACATACGTTCATTCGCATACGAAGCGGTGACACATTGTCCCATAAGCCAGAGATGCCGCTCAACGGACGAATAGCCACGATGTGTCACACTTTGGGTTGTGATAGCCATGCTCTAAATTTATCATACTAATTTACCTAAGAGAAGACTTTGGGCACACTGAATAATTTCATTTCTCAGAAAGAAAATGATTTTACTTGTTAAATTATGGTATTCACGAAGTGAAAACATAACATAGTAAAGTGGAGTAAATATTTCAAAAGCGGGTAGCCTTCCATTCCTACCTATCTTTGAATGGATACGTCTTTCATCAGCCCTTAATGTATAAAATTGTCCACGTCGTATAAAGCCTCTCCAAGTCCATTTTATAGGGTATTAAAACAAGTTTAAGTCTGCCAAGATCAGCAAAATTTATCCTTTATGGTGCCCGATCTGCCTCTCCGATGTGTGCCACATGTATCATCGGCAATCGTTCTTATTAGTGAGCAGTTGTCACATTAAGTCATGCACCACATCGCTAGACATAGCTGGAAGCATGGAAACGTTGTGGTTCTGATGTGTTTTGTTGGGAACGAAGGGTGACATATTTGCAGCTTCAAGCATAAATTGAAGTGTATAAATATCGAACAAGGTGTTATGATAATCAAACTCATTCTTGTGATCACCGTTGACATGGCTCACACTATACCATTTTGTGTGGTTCTTGCACCCCCAGGAGTTCCAGGGGCAGAGCCTGGCATCTACAATAACAAGCTGTACGTTGTTAACACTTTTGTTTAACTTCGACATATTGATCGTTTTCACTAGTGTATGGATTGTCAATGGAGTTAACGGACCAAAGTGGCCGGTCGCTGTCTATTGTCAGCGTCACGATCAGGCAATGGCGTTGAACAGTTGTTTAAACCCGTTCATAGCATTGCATGGAACAGAAGACCCGGCATCATTTCGTTCCTCTCTGCGAGGTTGGGAAGACTGGCCTGGTATTACTGCCCTCTTCGATCAGAATGGGACAACCTTTTGGTCTGTAATCTTTGGAGCCAGATCGGGAATCTTTTATCAAGAGTGAGTTGGATGTCAATGACGAGGACATGTTTTCATGATTTTTAGGGCACACGCGACTGAGCAGATGGAGCGCTCCCTACCTCAATACAGGGCAGCGTTTGGGTTTGATTGATTTGAAAACGCATTAATCTGCCAGATGTCTCGATCAAGCAATATTGTTGGTCTTCTTGACAGGTTACCTCGTCCTCACATCGCCCCACCCCGTCCCCACCTCAATCAGCTGTCGGTCCCCAGTCCTGATGTTCCCTCGCCAGGAATTTTGGGAGGATCGTTGTCGCAGAAGCAGAAGCAGAGGCAGTCCAATGCCGACATCTCACACTCGAAGATGCCCACCAGTCAGTGATTATTTTCGCGTTTGTTTGATGTTTCATTTTTGTCTGATTACATGTAGGCCACGGAAGCCCATCGAAAAGTTCTCACCTGACTTCCACTGTCCATGTCACCAACAGCAGCAACAACGAAGTATTTTCTACTACAAGTTGGTATCGCACTTTTCACCTTGGGGATGGCAATTGATTTTTAAGTTCCAGCTCATAGGAATGTCCACGATGCTGTTCGTCAAGGACCTATTGGACAAGAGTCACTGCAAAAAATGTCCCGGGCATCCCTACGTCTTCCAAGGCTTCTTTGACTGTACTTGGATATCTATCAATACCCCGAGGTCTTAATTTCGCAATACTTGGACATGGCGGAGGATCGTGATGACTTTGTTGAGGCCATGTCATTTAATGGTGTCCCAGAAGAGGCTGGTGGTTTTATTTGGGACTTGTACTTGGGACTTCTGGGTTTCTAAAATTTTCATTTGTTTTTAAATGTACTATTTCATGCAAATAGAATGGAATACAACCAGGGAACATCCTTCTCTTGATTATTTAGTGCTTTGGCTGACATCACCACAATATGAAACAGCACACTTTCAACTGTTGTGGACATATCTGCAGCCCATGGACGAAGAACCGTGTCATTAATGGCTGTTTAAATGAATATCGGAACAAAAATTTATCATCTCAGAGTAGACGTAGATGCAGTTATTGGTTCCATACGTGATCACTACTTAAGGATAAATTGATTTAAAGAATAGGTTTCAAAGTAGTCTGAATCTGTTTTGTCCATCACCCCAGTGAGGAGAACATGAATTGAGGTTGGTATTTCAAAAACCGGCGAGGACCAAAACCAGCATAAGTACTCATGTTCAACTTTGGTAGTTCTGTAGACTTCTTTCAACACCCGTTCGTAAGAGGTATCTCATTTTGTTGTCGATAATTTGTCTGTGATGCATGATGCTTTATTGATGAAAATATTATTGTACAGTCAATGTACAGTAGTGAAATGTACCAATGTCCCAAATATGTGGACTCGAGGTGAACAAAATAGACCCCAAAGAAACGCAGATCAACCAACTTCTGGCTGCAAGGATGGATTATGCATCACAATGGCAAAATTTCTTGTATTTAGAGACCTGTAGATTATTCCACAATCGCTGGAAATTGTCAAAGAACCATTGCCTATTTCAGTATAATTGTTCAGCCGGGATCATTGCACAGCACAAATTTCTTTCCCATGCTTTGCTGTTCTCCCTTTAACCACCACTATGGCAACAAACAGTCCTGAAGGCATGCAGCTTCAAAATAGTCTCGGTAAGACTATTTCTCTATCTTTGTTACGTGTTCACAGTGATTTCTCATGACATCATTCTGAGAAAATTGCGGGTTTCGATGACTATTGTTTCTAAGTCCATTTTGAAATAGGAGCATCGAGGCAGATGCCCAGCTTAGTCATCAAAAGTTCATCGAGGTTCACGTGCTGACGTGATTTCAGTAACAGGATATACAGCTGCGAAACAATCTCCGTTGGTTTGGTCACTTCCAGTTCATTGCAAGCTATTCCTACTTTCACACCTCAATCCCGATCTTTGGTATGAATTGCACGTGGAAGAAAGTCATCAGAACGCGGACATATTGCAGTTCGGGATGGCAATGGGAAGATCGTTGAAGTCTGTGGCCGACAAGGACTGGGACAAAGGCCATCCGTCTCAAAAGTGCATAGACAGCATCAGCGGAGGTCGCAATGCAAATAAATCTACAGGTCAGCTGAAAACCCTTGTGCTTGTAAAGGCGATGGATATCGCTGCTGGATTTCTTCGATTGCCATGTCGTTCCTATTATCCAAGTTTTAAGAAGTCGCTGACGTTTGATGAGCGTCAACTTGGGGTACGTTCCAGTTCCATTCCTTTGTTCAAATTTTCTTATCACATGTTTTAAGTTTTTGAGAAGGCTAGAAGGCTGGACGCACAAATTAGACGAAATTGCGACTTCTCTCCATATGTACAATGAAAGAAGAATGGTCCCCCTTCCTCCTCTACAGCCAGACGCGACAATGAATCACGAGATTCTGCACGCAGATATATGTTTGCTTGCGAATCATTGGAAACACGAATCGGTGAAAAATTGGCTGAAGGTCCTGTGCGTATTGGATGGCGTGGCTTTTCACATCCGATTACTATGTTATGTGAGCAGGTCCCATTCTGCGTTCTTCTTTGGCCTAACGTTTGACTCAGCATAATGGAGTGGAGCAGACAACACTTTGGCAACGGTAGGTTCTTCTGGTATCAAACAGGCAATCTTCTCACTTGCTTTTAGGTTTATCAACGATAATTTTGACCACCCTGACGTCAAAATGATCATGGGAAATGAAGAAACAATAAAACGGTTCAAAAAGAATTTACTGCAGTGGAAACAAGCCTTCACGAACGCTGTCACAATATCCCCCCTTGTGCTCATCATGGGCCAAGGAATGGGCCAAACATTGAACACCCCTCTTGCCTTACAAGTGAGTTCGATCGTACATTTCTAGTTATTTCGCTTGACACCCCATCTAAGGTTGGGGGACGTCTGTCTTCAATTGGGAAACCAAAGCTGATCCTTCGTGTTGAAGAAATCTTGTGGAAGTCCATCGTTGGTATAGCTTGGGGCTCGTGGATGAGCAAAATTGCATTGAGTAAATTTTTGGCCGAAGTGCAGCCGTTGGTTGAAAAGATGCTGGATTCCAAGGCTATGTCAAAGGATGGAGCAAAGAGGGGATGGGTAGGATATGAAGGGGAGGATACGTGGTTTGAAGATTCAATCACATTCATCCAACAGAACGTTGTTCCTGGTCTGGAAGCCAAAATCGGAGCCGAAACAAGCGAATGGCTCATAAGCAGCAGATCACTCTGGATTGGAAAGGGCGGTCGCAAGAAGGACCCAGTACAACGAGGCAGAAGCAGTTCTTGTCCTCCCCGATGGTCAAAGCCTCAGCGAAAGTCTCAAAGCCTCTCCCCTTCACGATATTCGGCTCGAAGGCCAGCCTTCATGCGTGAATTGATTTCGAAGATCTGTTGCATCTTGACTTACTGAGTACATGCATGGGGTCACAAACATTATCCAAATTTCGATGAAAGGCCAGAGTGGCAATATCCACCTACGTTGCCCCCTCTCACTGTTCGAGACCTCAAGCAAATTCCTGTCGGAGCTATCATCATCGGTGCAATGCCCCCCATTCGCAAGGATCCTCTGAAAACAGCATTTTCTTTATCCCATAAACAGAAAATAATTCACGAGAGGAAGCTCTCACAAGACCTGGATGCAGGCTGGCATCAGTTGATGTTAATGGCGCCCTCTCTGAGAATGGGCCAGGTGCAGGATGCGGCACCATCTCTCTCCCGCAGAAAAAGGCAATGGTCGAGCACTGTTGGCAAGCTTGATACCAGAGAAAGGTCCAAGAAAGCCAAGCTTGATCATGGTCTGTCCCGTTCTTTGCACCCAATTACTTCTCCGCTCGTTTGGGCTCCTGCCAAAAAGCAATACAGGACATTCGACTATTATCTGTTGATCTCTAATGTATGTATCCCTGGTATCTTCTGCATACTACTACCTTATTATAAGTCTCTAGGAAACTGATGATCACCTTGCGCTTGCTGGGTGGAACACTTGTGTAAGGACTGATGCAAGCGGAGGTCCACTCTACCGGTTGAAAGAAACTGGGAAGGCGGCAGATGAATCGATGATCGTGACCCTGAAACAATCTTCGGCCTTGAAAAATCATCAAGGGACTCTCAAGACCTTCCGCCACTACAACATTCTCCTGTATGACACGAAAACTTTGCCACTTACATGGTCTTTGGCGTCCCTTTCTGAGATTGGCAACATTGATATTCTTCAAGAAGTCCAAGGTTTCTTCTGTTTTCTTCCTTCATTATGAAATGGTCTTTTAATACGCTGCACTACCCCAGACCATCACCGGCGCAGCTCCAACGACACGATGGAGCAACTTCACGTCTCTGTTTCCTTACGTGAAATGTATGAAGAAGGCCTTTTGGAGGATGGTCGCATCTTGAACGCTTTGTCTCTACCTTGCAGCACTTCATACAGCGGTCACCCTTTACAGTCGTAAGGCACAATTTATCTCGTGTTTGCTAAAATGGTGATGTCTTTTAGGATTGTTTTGAGTCACATACGAGCATTCGAACAGACGTCTGACCTACCTGAGGACATCTATACAGCGGAGTATCCTGTCTCGGTGACAAGTTTCTGGTTGGTTGCCACTGAAAGGAGCCATTAGTTACATTCATCCAGATTGTTTTGGTGTCGGTACCATCATTGAGGTTCTTTGCAGGCGGAAGTTGTGGTACGTGTTTAAGCATGGTGGATGTAATAATAGACAGGACAGCCGTATCGATGAGTACATTAATGATTGGGCACCTGGATTTATTCCAGATCCAGAGGAATGGACTGCAGAGGTTGTCTTGCTTGAACCTGGTTCTGCCTTGTACGTCATCATGCCCTATCTGTCTTGAAATGCGCTAACACAGATGCAGCTACATGCATCCCAACACTCACCATGCAGTGGTGACCCTGGAGAATTCCATCGTAAAAGGTCACCATTTCTACTCCACGGTCACACTCTCGAAAACTGTCTTGGGCTGGGTTCATACCTGTATGCTCGGTTATACTATTACAAACATTTTGCATGTTGAGCTCCAGGAGGTTCTCCTTCGTATGATGTGCTACTTTGGTGCAGTGATCAGTGATCAAGGACCTGAAAGTAAGTAAAAATCTCGCAGTGACTGTCCTTCTGGTCCTGATAAATGGTATCAAGATCATGACACAGATATTCCCACCATGACAAGAGATGGACCTCTTGACTTCATTGCGTTAGGAAATCTCTGTCTATTTGCACCTGCCTTGTACGCCTGTGTCACTGAGACCGAGGGAGACTCGAAACCTGCAATTGCCATGGCAGCCGGCGCATACATATCCACAATACAGTGTTTGCAGATGAAATATTGTCTGGTTTTTCTCGATGATGACAAAGATGTTGCTGTGCAGTCCCCGGAATCAATGATGCGTGTCAATGACCGGGTCACCCTGAGTGTTGGGTCCCTGGATATCGCTGATTTTGCTAGGAGCTCTGCTGCTCATTTCAGGCGATCTTTGATTCTTTACGCTGAGACGGCTTTGCAAGCACAGAGGGCTTTAGGACAACATGAATCGGTCTTGTTCGATACTGAGATGTTTCAGCAAGATATTAAGGATGCCATGGAAACCTATTTGCAGATGGAGCTATCATCTGAGTTCCTCAAGGCTTACAAACGCCGGAAGAGGAAGGTTTTGCTCCTTAGGCCAATATTTTTGGTTCGGCAAAAGGCTGAAGTCCTACGTACGTGAGGTGGTTTCCTATCCTGACTGGTCTGACCTGTTGCATAGAATCTGATGCCCTGGAGGATTGGTCGGAAACCGTCGACTATGATTTGTCTGATGGTGAAGAAGAGGACCCTAAGGACGAAGAAGACTACCCCCCAACCAATGTTTCAAACATAAATGATGGGGATTCAAGTGGCATGGATATGACCGGGGATGATGATGATTCACAGGACAAGTCAGAATCGACATCAGAGAGAGATTCTAATGCTGGCTCAGAATACAGGCCTGGACTCTGAGTGTCTTTAATGAACAAAAGTATAAATACCTTGTCAAAAACATTGTGAATTGTTCTATGTGAAACGGTGTGATTGTATGTGATGTCTCAGTATATTGGTTGATGTTTGGTGATTGTGGTCTTAGCCGAAGGTGAAAGTTTCCCTATCAGATGTGCTCAGTTGTGTGAAATTTTTCTGTTCTGAGTGTGATTCCTTCACGGTTGCAGTGGGAAAGCTATGATTTGATCTTGAATCATTACATAATGATGTCCAAAACCTCCGAGTTTCCTCCGAGCTGTAGACGATGAAATGCCTAAGTGACTCGGGTTTCTTATCGGCTTTCCTCACCCTTGCGATAATCATTCCTTCCTCTCCGCTGCATGTCACTCGGTGCCTGTAAACATATCTTCGATTGTAAAGATGGAACTTGGTTGTAGTGGTGGAACTGCTCGACGTCCTCTTCGTCGTTTTGGCGAAGGTAAAATGCTGGTTCTGCCATCGATGAAAATAGACATTACTCCATATCCTAGTAACACCATCGGCAAATCGGATATTATGTTCTAGGTATCCTTGTTACCATGTCGCCGGTCCCGTATACTTATTGGTCTTAACCTTGAAAGAAATGTTTTGTTACCCTTGCTCCCACAGGGGAGTCGAGAGTTTGTCTTAGGCATACAATGTACTATCTGCTGTATGGGTATCCAGGAAGCGTGATAGCTCTCTCAAAAGGATGGAAGGTCGGTGCACTGCCGACATCCGTAGGTCTTCTGAGATAATTGCCAGCATAGGATAGGGTTACAGCAGTTTTCATAAATATGCGGAATCCCTGTTTTGAAAAATCTGTGTGGTCCTATTTACACCCCATGTCGGCCTGGTAAGAGAAGCACTCATGATCAGCACTCAGCTTTGAGGCAATTTTATCGTCTTGCATTCAGAACGCGCATTTATATCCTATATTGATCTTATATCATTTGTTTTCTGGGGATAATTACCACTGGAATATATATGCCGACATAGTATGGTCAAATTACAGACTTGCAATATAAAGAATTGCCAGGAGTGAAGACAGTCATGGTCTGACAGACTGATATCAATACCGCTGTGGAGATGCAGAGTCCGACAATGGATGCATGTCAGCACCTCAGCATGGCATATCAGCCTATCTTGCAAAAGAATGTCACTGCAGTCTATGAGGCAAACATTAAATGGACCGAATCCAGGAGTTGAAGACTCAGATGTTGAATGTTGGTTCTCAAAGGTTTTGTCTCGCTCCTGCCTGCATAGTACATCGCAACCATATGATATGCCACAGGAGTTGGGTACAGCTGATAAATATCTTCTACACCTTTAGAAACCTGACAAGGGCATCGCAGAACAGATGGTACTGTTTCGGGGCATGGTAGTGGTGGAAAGAGAGAAGGCCGGGGCCCTGCGATCCAAATACAACCACATAACTTTTTCAGAACTGGAATTCCACATAATTATGAAAAGCGCTATAATGGGAGATTCAATGATGGCGATCAGTCTTTACATAATTCCGGTTCGGTAAGTACAGTCATCACCCGGTCTATTGTACAGGCAAATTTCTGCAACATTTTTAAGCTTCCCTCAGAATTCTTTCATTCTATAAAGCAATTCACATTATTTAGCATATGCTCAAGAGTATATATTATAATTTTGAGGTGATTCAATGGTGATTTGATGGTGTGGTGAAATTTTTTGTCCAAAGTCCCAAATTACCAGCTACCGGGACTTTTGTACACTGGATCCCATGCACCAAATTTGGGCCATGGTTTCCTGGTTTGGATGATTTTCTCACAGCTCTGACCAGTCGTTTCACCTATAACACCACAGCAACTGATCTTTGACCCATGGCCCCGCAGGACAATTTCATCCTTTTAACTTTAAAATCAATTTTAAGCGTTAATATATGCACCCCACTGCCTTCACCCTTTCTCTAAACCTATATTGGTGTTTTGCCAAAATTCATACTCTTCACTATTGATTTCTTCCTGACTGATACATGGACTCTTACCTTGATTTTTGTTAGCCATATGATAACCTATATGGTATTCCATCAAAAATAAAATTGAGGTTGTTTGAGAGTGAAATAAGAAGTTATATTGAAATGTACAAAGAAGTAGTGGTGTTCAATAGACTGTACCAGATGACGAAAGCCAAACGAAAAAGCACGTTGAAGTATATCCTATCTGAGTTGTCACACAAATTTTAACATCTTCCACATTTTTGATATCAGTGTGATGTATGACTGAATTTCCATAATAAAATGCAGGTCTGTGCAATGGCCTAATGGGTGCAAAGTATTGAAGTTAGGTGTATGAACTCAATCAAGCTTATTAATTGCACGATGTACACTATTACTGGCCCAAAAAATGACACATTTCTTCCAATGAATACAAAGAAAGTATTCAATTTTAAATATGGTGAGGGTTTATATAATGTTGTCTGAAAAAACTACTAAAGGATCTTCTGCGCATATTGAATGCTTTAGTTTTGGAACAGTTAAGAATTAGTAGAGGAGCTCAATACTATAAAGTGAACATATGTAGGGAGTTCACAATTAACATAATACCGTTTCTAGTTGCATCAAATCATTTTCTCCCTTCACTTTAACCCCTCCTCTTCTACCTGTGTATGCTCCATATGTTTCTCCACGTTCTTTGCCCTTCTATAGAACTCCAAAATTAGAACAGAATGACAGTCATGTGGGCAATGATGTCAGATAGATCACAAAGATGTGGCAACATCTGATAACAATCTCTTTTCCATACTTCCACCAGCCCGCAAAATGACATCTGTTATTGGTGCGGATGCTCACTATTATGGATCAAGCACTTTTACCTTGCAAGCAACCCCTGCACGCCCAGAGGTTTTGAAAAGGGGGGCTTCCAAATCGCAGCCAGCTGACATCACAAAAGGCATGACTGATATGAAACAGAACCTACGAGACCTCACTCTTGTTCCAAAGGCTGCTGAAGCCTCCCCTCCCCCATCGCCATTTCATGATGCTCCTCTCGAGCTACGAGGCTGGCTGAAGGGTCTGGATGATTGTCTTCCTGGTGAAGTGTATGAGAAAGTTCTTGACTCCGAAAGTCAGTCACGGATGGAGGAAAACTTTGAGAATGTATCTGAAGCAGTTCATGGTTGGTAAGTACCTTTGCCATTTTATTTTATGGAGGACCTCACATTTTAGTTAGCTGGGAATTTCTCAAAGACAAAGTAATTGTTACAATTCCTTGTGTCACCCACGATTCCACACTAGATACTATTGCAGCAGCATTACATGCTAACTGGCATGCCACCATCGGATTGAGGATCCTAGCTGGCACTCATATCCCTCTCTCTGAAGGCCATTGGAAAGGGCCAGATATTCTCATATTTGACCGGGGACTGAATTGGGAGGACCCTGAAAAATCTTCCAATCGATTACAACTGGCCGGTAGTCGTATTCGAGGTTGCTTACTCCGAGTCGAAACCCAGAGTCAAAAAGGATATCCTTAGACTCATGTTCGGCACACACGGCAGAGCACTGATGGGCATAGCCATCAAGTTGAAGTACAATGACGAAAGGCTCATCAGTGTCGAGATCTTCGTGTATTATTTCTCAGGAGAAGGCAACTTCTTTCCTGAAGAAGCGGAGCCATTTAGCGCCAGTGAAATCTATGTCAACCAGGACGGGAAATTGTATCCTATTTCAGAGAGGCACAAGGAAGACAAGTTGTTCCAAATGGTCTGTGCAGAAGTAAAAGGCAAAAGGCATTTTTATGAGTGCTCCTTGGCCAGTAATTGGATTGTAAGATTTTTTGTTGCTCCTGTGCTGTCCAATTGTTTATTTCTGGCCTCCAGATTGATGACAATCACCACAGTTCCAAAGAAGACCTCGTAATCCCACCCGATTTTTTGAAGCATGTACCTGATAGAACAAAAATGGTTATATCTGCTGACAGCCTCTGGTCCGATCTCAAAAAGGGATACCAAATGACCGGATACTTCAATTCGGTTTTCGAGCATTTCAAGAAAGATGGTATGCCTGGTAACGAGTTAAAAATCACCTGCAAACGACAGGGATTGCATGATGGGGATGTTCACAGGAGTGATGGAAGTGAAGAGCAGGTGAAGAAGAAGGGAAAGCACCATTAGTTCATCTTTAGTTTTTACACATTTGGAATTCTAGTGTAGTATCTTCACGCAAATATCTTTTGTATATGTAACAGTCGCTGCAAATATGTTACCATGCCAATAATGTGATATCAGGAATTTGAGAATAGATGAAGCTTAAGTAGCAGTCGTCATTGTGGTCAAAAGGCTTCAAAGGTGTAAGCGCTGTAAACGTAGTAGGCAATCAGGCCGGGTATACACCGAGTTCGACTTTTCAATAAATCCTGCCTTTTCCTTACAGATGCATAAGGGTCCAGACTGTTCTTGAGTACACGGAACCTGTGTTTTCATCACGATTGCCAGACCCAAGGTACGAGGGTCCCGGCAACCCGACTATGACACAGGTCTCTGGCTTGTTGAGGCCCACCCCAAACCTGGCTTTTTACTTGGGATATTGGTTGGACCTCTAAGTTGAAGGCAAAGCATTTTGATTATTTTATTAGAATTCTCCTACTTGTATGAGTTATGGTAATCTCTCTGGGGAGAGTGTAAGAGCAATGAAACAGAAGCTCCGTTCTCCCCAGGGTCTTATAAATATGATGAAAAGGGGTAGCTGATCATGTCAGTGTGAATCCCATGGAAGCAGGATGCGTTTAAACCTCTGGTGCTGCCGATGCTCTGAACCGTGACTTCCTGTTGGGATTTGGCAACCCGGCATCATGCCGAAGTTGCTTATTAAGGTAGAAGTAGTAGGAAAAGCATGGAAAGTTCTAGTAAAATAGTATTTAGTATAAAAGTAGGTACTGTAGAGTAGATCCTCATGCATTTGCAGAGCTCAGCCAAGCGCAATACTATTGGCTTGCTACCGCACATGTAACACTGGGAACGGACCGATACCCCATTTTCCAACACTTCCAGGTAGCGAATATTTGATTATGCAAGGATCCCGGTCCTTCAAGCCAAGTACAGGGTAAGTCCTTATCTGTGCTCTCGCAGCAATTAGACTTGCATATAAACAAGTTTTAAACCCATTATAAGTAGTCATATCCATAAGTTCAGTTTTACAGCAACAAGAAATATCTGGAGTCGAGATGTGGGTATCAATTGCTTCATTCAGATCATCCATACTTATCTCAATGATATTAGACTTAGGGATGATAAATTATAGTCATATGCAGCTTAGGAATGTGCACCATACTGTTACAGATACAACCGTAAGCAATAGGGAGGGTCAGATGTGTGATTATGGGTCAATTCTGGATCGGTTATGTATTCAATTATGGACTTGATTACAACGCCCATGACCGACACTGAATGAATGGTTTCAGCGGAAGGCTTCTGAAGAAGTCCAGCGCATGGTTGAAGGCATAATCGGCCCATAATCGCATAACTGACTCCGTAAATGACAAATTTATGAATTACTTGAATACAAGTATGCGATAGCAGAGCAAGATGGGATCTTTCCCAAGGAGAATAATCTCAAAGCGCTCTGTTGTCTCCATGAGTATCTTATCAGTGCTCTACAAAGCAGAGGAACGGCGGTGTGGTAAGACAGATGCGCCAGACGCGTGAAAGGTCCATGGGATATCTATATGGATAATAGAACTCCACGCAGGTTTTCGCAGAATCGCACTTCAAAACGGAACTGATGATGCATCAGTGTTGCTTGAATCATGGTGCATGCGACTGCCGTTTAGAGCTTTTCCGAACCATGAGGACCTCATTACCTTGCTGAAAAGCAAGGTCAACCCACAGTCATAAAGTTTCCTTTTCCGTCGTCTGCCAAAAGCAATTAAGTACAAATAGGTGGCTGTGCTCAATCCAGCAGTCCTCTTCCTACTCTCGCATCTGCCAAAACCAAACAAATACAATGTAGCCGTGCAGCATGTCAAGACTCAGTACTCAGTACTCAGCCATTTACCATCTCGACTCTATGCACCTGCAGCACTAGCTTCAAAAAGTCGCCTCGCACATTGAATATTGAACGTTTGAACCTGAACATCTGGGGAATTGCTTAAGAATTGGATCGTGAGCGACTAATACCTTCTCCATATTTTCCCTTGCTGATGCTCATGCGTCGCACTTTATAGTCTGTTCCACTTACGAGGACTAGTACTACTCGCTGTGCTGTCCTAGCACAATTAACACTGCATCTGTCCTTCTTGCCATCAACAAGAAGCACACTTTCTAACTTCGTCTCTGGACACTTGCAGAGGGAAAGTCTCCCTTTGGCATCCCATGCTCAATACACGAGAACATTGTACCCAACAAGATCATTATCACGTATATCAGCCCACAAGACAAGGATGGTACAAGCTTGTAAAAGGACCACAAGGTGATAGTCAAGGTACTAAAGGAGCTCATCCAGGGGGAAAATACAGGAAAATGTGAGGCAGAGTGGAAACTGAATGCTTTTCTGGCAGAGGGAATAGCCAAGGATGACCAGGACCGGAGCTAGGTGTGATCGCCTGGACCACCTATCTCATAAGCCTATATGGGAATGAGCTTGCCCATCTACTGTTCATGGTCCCGATGAAGCTTTCAGCCGCCATCGATATATTATATTCAGGTTTGCGCATGATGCACGCAGTCCAATATGATACTGGTGAGTACATCTGTTAGTGCTCTATGCCATTGATCCTATCGTTCACTAGATTCTGCTATTCTCTCCTCCCACTTGCACGTATCCACCACACCATGACAAAATCAACATCAACCCCGACCCAACGACCCATCCCCACGACCCTCCTTCAGTCGGACATTCCCTTCCGATATTGCGTCATCCCCTACCACTCAACGACATCTACCTGTTCCCGCTGCGCTGGTCTTTCAATGGCTAGTAACATGCGTTGTTGGAAAGTAGAAGAGGACGTTGCCTCCTGTCTGGTGCGAGGAGGGAGTGAGTATGCCTGGAGACTGCGAAATATGACCCCACCCCATCCTGGTGTGTAGGTGTCCGAGTTTTGGCTGGAGACAATGGATCGTCTTCCGGCAAGCAAGACGTCTGCGCCTAGAATGTATTCAAAACCGGTGAACACACCCACGGAAACTTCACATAGGGTAGGGACGGCAGGTAGTCTTAGGAGGGACTGGTTTTACCTCGACGCCATGTATTGACGTCGGCAAGCGAGAGCATGGCGTCGGGGTATTGCTGTGGATACAAGGAGTATAGGGCTAGGGTAAACTGGACATAGTACGCAGTCGCACGATGTCGACTGTCTTCGTTACTGATTGAGATCCTTTGCATCTAGCTGTTATTGTACACCTGCACCCAGCCTCTCCCTGGATGACGACTTTTGCGGACATGACGTATCGACATCTGGCGAAGAGCACGGTGTCGTGACACCGGTCGGAATTTTGGAATAGATTATGGGTCTGAGTTCAGGGACTCTTATTAGAGATGGTTTGGCACTATGCAGTGTGGATTTTTCAATGTACAAATGATCTGCGAGGTATACGACTGGTATATCGGTGTTCAAAGAAGCAGATGTGCCATGCAAACACTTTGTAACATATTGGTATGACTTACGTAGATCAACCCAACGAGGAATTGTCGCTTTCAGTGTTTCCTTACATGTTTTGAGTCGGGAGCATTGCCAATGAAAAGGTCGACTCGAAAGAGACAGCAATAGGGTTCAAGGACAAGATTCAGCAAGGTCGTACTCGCCTCGGCACGCAGCAGGCACTTGTTCTCAAATGCCATCGTACCGTTCTTGGCGGTCATGACCTCCATTTTGCTTCTAAACACATCCATTCATAAAGACGTTGACACTGTGATTCAGAATCCTGTTACAGTCTCTCAACAAGACAAGGCTATTCAGGAGAAGCGAGCGGAGACCGAGACACGAACCATGCAGGATGAGACCTCAACTGCAATCTCTGAAGCATCAATCAAGGCATCGACGGTTTGCCCTCGTGTGTTCTCTATCTTGCCGAAATGCTGAAACCAACCTGTAGATATCCTTGACATTCGAACATCCTGATGTAGCCCGGATTGCTCGGTTCTTCTATCCTCAGGGGCAAAATGCAAGCTGGCAGCAGAGCGCATTTTGCTGTTCATTTAAGTGCTTCCACAAAATTCATCTGCCAATTTCAGGTAACCCATCTCAGTCATCTGAATGAAAGAAATGCACGAAAAACCTTACCACTATGTAGATACAAGTGTATTGTCCATGGATAAGCAGATTTCACAAAACCAGCAAGGTCCCACATGCCCCGGCATGCGGCGGGCACTTGTATATATAGATCACTTCAATGCATTAAGAATAATATCCGATGACTAAGCAAGTCATCGAGGCGGATGCTCCATTCCAAATACGTTCGGCCATCGAGGACGGGATCAACACAAGCGTAAAGTTCAGCCATTTTATAAAGAGTAAAGCTTTTCAAATATATACTGATTGTTTCCACTTGGGGCAGTTTGTGTTATCATACGAGTAGTATATTTGTCTGTCGGTGCGGGTTATACAGGGAACACTAGAAAGGTCGCTATATCTTATACCACAAGGAATAGACAGAATTTTTTTACAGGTGATTGAAATTAAAATAGAAAGCCAACAAGGAGGTTGATTAACAAGTAGAATAATTGAATGCATTGGTAGGCGAAGCATGTAGAGTGGATATAAATAATGAACGAGAACTAACGTTGAACCACTGGCATGGCTGGGAAAAAGTCTTTAGATTTCCACTAGACACCCACATGAAGAACTGGGATGGAAGAAGACGTCATAGGAAGCAGGAGGGTACTAATATGACGGGCAAAAGTCATCTGGTAGATTGTGAGAAAATTTTTGTCAGACATATCAAGATTCAGGATGATATTGTGGCCCCAAAATTTAATTCCATGTGGCAGTCGGCATTGCGCAAACGGATCATGATGTTCAATGTTTCAACACAGCCAGACTTATAACCGTCATGTAACCCTCAACACACTCGTCATCTTCCTTATGCAAGGGGGGCGATTTATCACCCAGCGATTAGCTGACTTCGATGTACTAAAAATAGATCATGATGACTAAGAAGGTCATCGAGCCCGATGCTCCATTCCAATACATTCGGCCATCGAGGACAGATCAAGCAAGCTCAAGTTCCACCTTTTTATAAGCAGTAAAGGTTTGGATATATGCTGCTAGTTTTAACATATTTGCATCGATCGGTGCCGGTTGTTTCAATGAAAACTAGAAAGTTCTTTATATCTAAAAGACGAGGAAAGAAGTGGGACATACTGGGAAGACAAACTTCGCATTTTGGAGGATCTAAATCACATGCCATCCCGCTAGAGATGAGAATACGCAAATTTTATGTAAAATTTCTGCCAAGATCGACCTCCGAAAACGTTACCCTTATCATGCGCATTCAGGTTTCCCTCAAGTTCTCATTTGTCCAGTGTGACAGTGGGAATAGCAGGAAATGTTTTGCATGCCGATTGAAATGAAAATGAAAAGTGAAAAGAGGAGGCCGATTAAAGGCACAGAATAATTGAATGCAAAGGTAGGCCAAGTGTTGTAGAGTGTATACAAATAATGAACGAGAGCTAACATTGAAACGCTGGCAAAGGATGGCTGCCTAGCATCTGTGGAATCGCGCTTGACTCCGAAACGGCGGAACTGGAATGGAACATGGTCTCAGACTCCCAAGGGAGGTACTAAGATTCAGGGCGAAAGGCATCTTGTAGATTGGGAGAAAACTTATTTCAGAAGAATCAAGATTAGGGATGCACATCATTTTGTGGGAAACATGAGAAACTCTTGTGGCTGACTCCGCAACTTCGAATCGTCCATTCCCACGGTGATCATTTCTTTTCACTAACCAGCATGTTACAAGAACTACACCACTCCGTGAATGCAGCCAACCTTAGTGAGTGTCTTCTTCAAGTCCACAGCAGGCAGACACGTGGAAAACTTGCTTTATTCATGCTTCTGACATATTTTCTTGGAACAGCGGGTTACGGAGCAGCGAAAAAGGCCGAAACCAGGGAATGGCTCAAGAACAGCAGAGCTCGTTGGATGAAAAGGGTGGTCGCAAGGAGGAGCCTTTACAACGGAGAAGGGGCAACTCTTGTCCTCCCCGACAGTTAAAGCCTCGGCAGAAAGTCTGGTCGAAGTCTCCTCTTCCCAACATTCGCCTGGAAGGCCAGCATTCCTGCCTGACTCGATTTTGAAGATGTGCCAGCTCCTGAGTGATCAAGTGACGCAATGAGGTTGGAAGAAATATCCAACCTGCGCATTCTGACCGGAATGGCAACGAATAAGTTGCCCTGTCTACCAGCTCCCAATCATCGATGTCAACCAGTTAACAAGCATTCATGTACCAGACATTCATGGGGGCTGGCAAAGTCTGCCTTCAATAGACCCAAACCTCCTAGCATCTGGTCAACAAGGTGATTTCTGCCGTCTCCCAGAAAGGAAGCGGTCTCGGTCTGAGACCTCTTCCTCTATGCACAATGTGTTGAAGAAAGCGAAAATTGATCCACGTTTCTCCTTTTCTCCGACCGGAATCCTCTTACCAGAGGTTTGGGTTCCTCGAACAAATTCCTGTGTCACCTTTGAATACTTTCCGCTTGTGTCCAATGTAGGTTAACCAACCACTTTCTTGTCTCATTGCCTGATTAAAATCTAGCCTGAAGAGCAAGGAAAGCTTGCACTTTTCGAAGCTTGCTACAGGATCCCAACCTGGCTGGATCCAGTCATCCTGTCGATGAAATTCAACGAGGCGTTCGAAAATCCTTCTCAGACAATGATGGCTTTCAAGAACGCTAACTTTCACCTATATGATACTCGGGCCTATCCACTGGATTGGTCTTTGAGGTCTCTATCAGAAATCGGTGATATTGACCAAGTTCACGTCTTGGAAGGTGTAGGTTTTCTTTTTCATCGAAAAATGTATCCTAATGTGGACTGTAGGGCATTGATGCTCACGTAAGAACAGTATGACCATCAAGATGTCTCTATGATGGAGGGATTGAAGAAGGGGGTCGCATTTTCAACTTTCTCTCTCTGCCTGGTCATGATTCTCCCATCAACCACCCTTTACATTCGTAAGCTGGCATTTTTTCCTAAGGTTTTTCTAGTGCACTTTAACTTCATTAGTATCTTGTCGAGCCACATCTGTGCCTTCGACAATACATCTGATCCGGCCGATGAAATTTATAAAAGAGAATATCCGGCCTCGGCGACGAGCTTCTGGTTTGTGGCAAGGAAAGGGGCTACCACCGAGGTTGGGACAGACAGTCTTGGCATCGCTACTGTCATCGAAGTCCTTTGTGGGTGCCAGATGTGGTATGTTTTCCGACATTGAGAGCCCCAAGAAGTTGAGGTCCGGGGTGAATGGGAACCTGGATTTATTCCGGACGCCGAATTCTGGACTGCAGAGATTGTCCTGCTTGAACCAGGTTCTGTGTTGTATGTCATGCCTTATCTCTCTTGAAATGTGCTGACACAGATGCAGCTACATGCGTCCCAACACTCATCATGCAGTGGTTACCCTGGAGAACTCCATCGTAAAAGGTCACCATTTCTACTCCACGGTCACATTATCGAGAACTGTCTGGGGCTGGGTTCATACCTGTATGTTCGGAGACATGGGAGGTCTTCCATTCTTCGAACTACAGCACATTCTCCTTCGGATGATGATTTACCTTGGTGTTCTGGTTGGTGACGAAGGGCCCGAATGTAAGTAAAAATATGGTGACTCTCCTTTTTGGCCTAACATTTCACAGGCAAAGACTCCCACTTCCCGGGGCTAAATAATCGTGGCATGCTGAATTTTATTGCATTGGGAAACTTTTGTTTATTTCTCCCTGCCTTCAATTCTGGCCCTTTCAAGCGCAATGAGGAGGTCACAGTCACCCGTAAGGCAATCAGGGCCTATCTTTCCATCATCCAGCGGCTAAGGGACCGTCACTGTTTACTCCTCCTCGACGAACATACCTTCATCAATTTGCACCCGTTGTCTGCGGTCAGGCAGTTGGACATTGCTGACTTTGCCAGAACATCTGCTGTTCAATTTGCTCATTCACTCATCCTAGAGGGCAGGAGGGCATTTGGCTTGACAGCCTCCATGTTTGAACTGACCGTCAGGGAATGCTTGCCAATTTTCTTGAACATCGACCCAAACTTCTTCAAGATTGACGAGCGTCGGAGGGAAAGCTTGCTACTTACAAGGAGAACTTTTTGGTACAGGAACAGTCAGCGGAAGTTGGTAAGTTGATATTCTGGCCTCAAATTCTTCCTCTGATCAATTTGTCAACCAAGATGTGCATGTGGTGAGTGACATAAAGTTCGCTCTGTGAGGACAAATGGGTGGTCCTGGTTGAAAAAAATATGTCTTCGTGCCTAAAGATTGCTACATATTGAATCATTAATAAATATCTTGTGTTTTCCATGTTGAGCCTGCCGCCGACCTCTGAAGCATTTGGTAGGGGGTCTTGCTAAGCTTTCCTCCTGTGAGTGGAGAAAAATTTGCATCACATTGTGACATTAGAGATCACTCAGTGGCAATAGTAAAAGTTCAATTTACACTTTCACGGTCGGCATTTAAAAGAGCCTTTAATCTGCATTCGGCTGTAGTATGACATCATTGTTGCCATCTCATCTCCGTCGCCGACTTTGACTCTCCTAATGCATCTTCGAGAAGAAACGCTAGACAATCGCTACCCACATTGTCTGCTGTTATGGGTGTCATAGGCAGCCGTGGCATTGCGCTGAACACAGGAAAACTGGCATCTATCTGTCGAACCTCACTGCTCACAACAAATAGGCTTCCTCATCTAAAGCATCCCTCAACAACTTGTCGGCACCCAACCTATGGTTTTACAGAATAAGCAGACAGTGGTCCAAGGACTTCTATCTGATCTTTTACACACGAGCACTGCCAGACCCTCCCAATATTACATGTAGTATGTCTTTGGGGCACCTGTAGACCAATTTAGTTTCTAATGCTTTCTGTTACAGCAATCGTTGATGCAGATTCTGGAGATCTTACACCGTGGACCTTGACAGACTCTCATGTCAGAAATCCTTTACAAGTGAAGGCAAACGGATGTGGGTGCGCTATTTTTCAGCTATGGTCATATTGTGATGATACATCTGGTAATGTGTCCATTATTTACGCCTGCTGCACTCTTGCGAACATATCCATTTTTGTGTAATTCCCCCCTATCAGACTAATTTTATCTAGGTCAAACCAATTCCGCAGATCTTGTGCAGCTTTTGTGTGAGGTCCACCAGCGGAAGTAGAACAACAACAGCCCCAAAATTCCCCAAGCGAAACTGAACAGGACCCTATTGACCTGTGGGCCAGGGTAAAGTCCAAAAATCAGAAACGCTCCTATAAAGAATACAGTCCTACAGGCAGTCAAGTTAGGTCAATCAGTATTCAAATGTAGATGACACACCCCCAATATAAACAAGCAAAAGGCAAGCTATGTGCTATAGCCATATTGTCAAACCTACCGGAGGCATCTCGGAACCTGTTCATGAGTTGACACTAAGATAAGTTTGTCAATGGGCAAAAGTGGATAACAAATTGGACGAACCGCCTCCACGTATGATACTTGCAAGACTTCTTGGTTCTTCCTTTGCAGTAAAAAGGCAGACATGATGCTTCCGAGAGAAGCAACTACAGAGAAATACAGGAATGTTTTGATCCAAGACGTATTAGGCCCGGCATCTACGGATTGTATGGCGAAGATGCCAATGTCTAATGCCACCAACACTGTAGACTTCGGCAAGTGTTAAGTTCTATCAGAACATGTGGCCTGGACCACTTACATAGACAGTAAGGTCGGAACAGGTCTTTTGAACACCTGTAGAGAAAATTTTCCATGCTCGGCATGAGACAATCCCATCACATGCCATGAATTCAATCTCCTGTCGGTGTCTTCGTGGTGCATGAAATAACAGCAGACTGACGAAACGAAACATTCGAGATTCTGCCCCGAGTTTTTCGTGGTGATAGATTGAGACGCCTCGGTCCATTCAAACGGCTGGCTCACCATGAAAGTTGGCGAATTTTTCTTCACCTGTGAGAAGAATATTAGTATTGTATTAAAGTGAATGGGCGGGCTTACAAAAATGTTTCATTAAGATAAACATGATGCGATGTTGTCCCAGTGCTTTTGGGATATCACTAATATTGGAGGGCAAGAGTTCTAGCATAGTTTTTAACTCATCTGGCCCGTAAGACGCTGTCGACGTTGGGGAAACCAAACCATCTGGCCTACATTTACTTCTGTGCAAAAGTATATAGCTTTATGTACTAACCTCCAATACCATGGAGGATCATATCCCTCAGTTCCTCTAGAACATATTGTGTTGTACATGAGACCGAAGGGAACAAAGATCGGTGATGCCTGGGATAAGACCAGATGAGATACAACAAATGTGAAAGATACTCAAATACCAATACTGTGCTTTGACTGTGTACGCTTGGATGTCATTTAATACTTGAAGTGTAAAGCACAAAGAAAAACAATACCAATATGAGCCTCCGATGTGATGCCCTTCATGTTGTGCCACATCCTTTCTGATGGCTTGACGTCTTCAAGCCAAAATATAACCCTACTTCGATGGTAGGCAAGATAATATTTGCAGAGCTGAGTACCTGAACCATCAGGAACAATATCGAGCACCAGGTCAACATCTTCAGCGCGAAACATTGGCTGGGGATGGCATGGAGTGTTAAGCAGGGAAAGAAGGCTTTGCAAGAAGTTATCGACGCTTTTTAATGTTTGTGGGTGTTGGATATTCATGTCGGTAACAACCGTCCAATGCTAGTCCTGTGACTCAGGGTCTACATGTTCGAAGAGGGGAACTCACGACTTGTTTAAGAATGTAATAGCGTGCGCCTTTGGGATGTACATAACTCCTCCAAGGAGTCGAGGAAGGTCTGGAAACTTTAACTTTGTTGAGAAGCTGTATTGAATACAATTCACGAACCTGGCGTAGGAGAGCTTTCCCCTTGGTATATTATTGTATTCAATATCGTGTAGTAACCTGAACATCGCGCATAAGGAAGACGCCAATACGTGGTGGAGAACACTTTACATTTTAACTCCTCGTTTATACCTGAGGTACTGTGTAGGAAGGATTGGAATTAACGTTGGGTGTGAAGTGAAATGAACAGACATTGGAATATCTGGCTTATGCGGTTCCGAAAACAAAATTTTCACCTGTGTATTAGTATTTGCAGCAGATGATTATATCATCAGAACTGACCACTTCGATGACCGGAAATGTCTGCGGCGAAATTAAATGTCCGAGAGGGTGTAACGGGAGCTCCTTTTTAGGATGTCACGTCATGGAATACATAAGCAAGAGAGCATCGAGCTCGAGTTCAGTGTCTACGGGAAATGAAGAGATTCATTATTACACAACGTATGTCCTTTTTATTTCTGGACATCTTTTTCATTTTCATATGTTCTTCCCTGAAGGACTGAAGCACAATTTTTACTCAGTGCCATTGAAAGATGTAGCGCAGAATAAGGAATGTTGGGCGCTTCAAAGTACGATTTGGATATCACTGTGTACGAGCAAGGCCCTTAAGTTATCCTTACGTTGAACCCTCCACTTCTTTACCCTGCTTCAGGTCGGTTTCCGAGGTGCTTTGTGATCACGGAACAGGTATATTTAAAATTGAGTGAGATCAGTGAACGGATGCGCTCACTTTGTCCTTTTTCGCCGTTTCAAAGAGTCAAATATTTTCTTCAACGATCTTTTTGGCATCTTCAGATACCGCCGTAGCTTCCTCCTACAAGTGGATACCTTTCAACTTCAGAGAACATAGCTGTTAAAACGTAGGACTGACTCGTAAATGAGGAAGGGAGTGGTCTCGGAGCGTTCCAGCCAGCAAATTGGTCCAACGTCCAAGCCCATTTCTATTGTTTTCCTTGAATGTGGAGACAGTGTATGATGAAAGATTTTTAATGATTGGGAATTGTTTTGGGAAAGATGTTCGAAAGAAGTTTAAGCAGGCGCATTTGGCACAGATTTGTGCGGAACTGGCCAGAACAATATCGTATGTGTTAAAGATATCGGTGTCAAGATTCACTAAGCGAAGGGGATTGCAACGGCACCACTGCCTGACAAAAGTACTCACACTTGTTAAACTCAATTGATTGATTTCCCATATTGATGTACAAAAGCTTATCTTTCAGACAAATGATGCAGGGAAGTCAAATGGCGAGTGCAGTACTTTCAGCTGCCCCATTTGTTGACAGGAATGCTCTCTCCGAGGTATTAGCCCTCTTAAATCGTTACGATTCTCAAGTGGCGAAGATATTGTCAGATTTGGAGTTAAATTGGGATGATCTTTCTGAGCATGTGGCTAAGACTCTACCGTCTTTCGAAGTCCCTGGAAGAGAGCAATCATTATTGGATGTGACGTCCGAAAGATGATCGGGACAAAGAAATGTCCATTGGTCCTTGCCTGCCGGACTGGTAATTAAGTCAAGCTAAGACCCTCCAAATGTTGGGTATTTTTGGATATTCAAATATGGGAGTCATTTCTGAAGCTAGGTAGACATCTGTTTTCACATACAACATTGTGGCATGTATTGTCAACCTGCGTTTTCCTTCCCACTTGTAGAATTGAAATGCACCCCATATGGAACCTGTCATGCATGGAATCTAGGTGAAGCCCGTCTGTCAAAGTCAAAAAGGATACATTGTCAAGGCTGCCCTGCATGCATGAGTTGGTATTCTCTACCACCGCTTCTCTGTCGAATCTTCTACCAAGTTCTATGTAATGGCGCTCCGCCCCCAAGTGGATGAGATGATGATAATGTCACGTTTAACGTGTCCTAAGGCTCTCTTGCGCTGTATGCTACTACGTGGGTGTATCTAAGTGTATGTTTTCCATAAACATTTTTATAGAGCTATACCGACCATCTTTACCCCTATAGATACAGGCAACCGCACCAGAATATTTCAATGCGGCTCAATACTTAATCTACAGATCAATAGAATGGAAAGATTTTCAAGAGTATAATATTCACTGTGCATGTACAAAGCAGATATATCTAATACATCTCTACTATGTACTCTCCCCTCTGACGTAAGGAACATTGGCGGCAAGCGTTGTGCTAGAACGTGAATGGAAGGTTTACTTGCGTATCGAGCTCAATTTCGACATATCATCTAGCATAGCATAAGTACAGGTTACTTGTCGCAAGATGCCAGCTCACATTGGGACTCATAAAGCACAAGAGCAGAAGGGAAGGTAAACGAAAGGATAACAGAAAAACATACCTGCCAACCAACTCACTAGTTGACTAGTAACCAAAGCCTCGGAGAGCGAAACAAGTCATGCTGTTCCTGCGGTAGGCAAGATCAACATTAACTCTACAAGGAGAGATGTGATACGCACCAAGACCGTCCCATCCGGCCTTATCACGAGACTAGGGTTGACTGCTGTCACAATAACCTGCACATGGTATCAGTAAGCTGAGAAAACGGGAAAGGATGTTCAATTGCGCACCTCGTTACCAACGTCTCCCGCTATCTGTTACCCTAAGCTCTTTAGGTATTCCATGGATCCATGCAACTCCCAAGGTCCAGCCCAAGTTTGTGTAGCAGAAGTAAATAGCAGATATATGAAGATGGGCAGAGAGAAGAGAGGGGAGACTCCTGCATAGCTCCGGATTTGAGATGTTAAAATAATGTCGTCCAATATCAATGAGGGTCGCGTGATGAGATCCTACAGATATCTTATGTAGCAGATAGCTTGGAAGAATAGTAAAATGGAGTTACCAAAGTACCACACTGTACCGATGGGAGGACAATGAAGGGACAGCATGGAAGAAGTGAGAGTTGAAGAGCAATGATTAAAATGAAAAACTGCGACAAGTTCAATGTACACGTGACCCTATGGCATGATTACACAGACCACTTCTATTTTGGGAACATACTTGATGCTCTTGACTCGAAATTGTTGTTTCGCCTTTTGTACATCCTCAGCTATATAATCCTAGCTCTTGACTAACACTCTCCTGGACTTAGACTGACATATTTATATCAATTTGATGTTTATAGATGTATAATGGTATAGGCTGTCAGTGCACACAAAATCCCCTATACCCTCTACATGAATGTGAAATTGCTGATGACCAATGGCCGAGACACAGCCAGGATCCTTTGCCAGGTAATACTTGCATAGCCTATATCTGAAGTGCACCGAAACGGACACTGGACCGTAAAAAGGATGCCAATCTGAAACAAATTGGGAAAGATGGCAATCAAAGATATACATTTATAACCACAGAGGATTCAAAATTTGAATAACGGGGAAGTTTCTGGGGTCATATTACTGTATATAGTAGCAGTAAGCACATACAAATACCAGTTATTGCGGTAACTGGAGCATACCAGTCTTGTATTCCATATTTTTGACTGCTTAGCTCAGTAAAAAGCTACATAAGATGCAAGAACTGGGAAAAGCTGACTAAATATGAGCAAAGCCGATGATGAGCCTAAACTTCCATGGCAACGGCAAAAACCAAAACTCTAGAGGAGTTCACGGCAAATGGCGCGTAGCGGCAATAAAGGCTTTGTTGTTGTGCGAGTGTTTCGGTGCACCTCCATGCGATGAATTCCTCAAGAACGCAAGTATACACTGCGACTTTTCAGTCAGCGAAGTAGTACCCTTAACGATCGAGTACTAGAAAACGTTGGCTGTAAGCCGGGAAGGGTCTCGATAGACGAGAAGGAACAGAATCCGGTATAACTGGGAATACCGGCAAACCGTGAATGAAGTGACGGCAATTTAAGTAGTAAAAGCCATGGGCGATGTTGACGGAATTAGAGAAAATGCCGTCAAAGAGAAATACCGTTGGCAAGATAACAAATACCGTGACGGCAAGAGATGAAGACTGTAGTCGAGAAATGAGAAACTGGCGGTAAAACAAAGATAAGACTGGCTGGCGATGATATGAGGGGGAACTAGTGACGGCAAAACGACGGCTGGGACTGGGCTGGACTGAAACTGAAACTATACTGAGGTTAACGACGGCAAAACGAAACTGATACTAATCCTGAGTCTACACGGAGACTATCCTATACTGAAACTGACGGCAAGATACCAAATACCGTGACTGATGATCCTATACTGAAGCTGTTGACCGAAATTCCGTGACAGATGCTGCTGGCAGCAATAACGATCCTAATCTGAGTCCGCACGGGGACGTAACGATCCTGAACTGAACTGGGTAAAACGATGGCGACGTAGAAGGTGAAAACTGATGAAAACGATGCTGGCTGGTGAAAGTGAAACGATGCTGGCAGATTAAAAGATAAAAGCGAGTTGTGGACACCAAATTCCGTGTATTGGCGCAATATGAGCGTACACCAATACCGTTAGAAGAAAAGCCGTGACAGAGAGTATAACTTGGAGTGACTATGTTGTTATTGTCTATCTCCTAGCAAGTACAAGCGATAACGGTGGTCGATAACATGGATGATGGCTAGTGTCCAGTAACTTCTTTTTAGCAACTCCCTATTTTCCGTGATGTATACTAGCTTTTATACTACGAGTCCGGAATAAATTTAGAATACTTGAAGCAAGTCCTTAGTAAGTCTGTAGTACATAGATTAGTAAGAAATGATACAAAACACATGCTCCCAGAGTTCTAAAGTAACAGCACCCACACGGTTTTACTGTGTACTGTGGTTCGAAAGTAACAGCACCCATATGGCTTTTCCGCATATAGATGAAGTGATTAGCAAGAATGCCACCGATCTCCGGAATTTTGAGCTGCTGTGTTGCTGCGGCAAAGTACATTGAAGCAAGTGTACTGAAGTAGATGCTTGCAGCAATCTCTTGGTGGTATAACAGCCTTAGTAAAGACTGAGGAAAGGTCACGGCATTAGAGCTAATGCCATGGAATTGCTATTTGAGCTGCGGAATTATGGCTGTGCTGCAGAATTGCGGCTGTGCTAGGCAATCAGATGGGATTCTAAATCTGTGAGATTGACAATCAGGTGCCTGGCGGAATTAATGAAAGGGGCACGTAATTGATGTGGGGTACAAGTGGGGAAGGACAAGTAGCAGCATTAAGCAATATTGCCGGGATTGAAACAGTAGGTTTGTGTGGTGGCTGGGGAATTAAATATCTGGTAAAATCTGCGAATTCTGAGCATACAGAGCCTGGAGGCTCATCACCGAGTGGCTGCAACACTAATCATGTGTAATAGTTTAGGCCAGGACTCTGACCTTCAATGATGCATGGGCTTCTATTGAACAACATTGAATGAATATCTCTGGTAATCACACTGGGAAGATGGAGATTTTTGACTCGAACCTGAGCTTTGAACACAACTGTAACATTTTAGGAACATTGTTTGGGGACTGACTAACTTTGCATCTAGGAGGATCTAGTTCTCCGACAATTCAGAAGAAGCTTCGATCATGCATCAAGTAAATCATACCATAATTTTACACTAAGTACTTGCATTTAGCATGCATGTGGCAGTAAAATTTTTAGGTACATACCTGCTGCTTATGCTTGCTACCTTCCACTGTCAGAATGCCTGAGAAAGATAGTGAATCAAGGGCAAAGAATGGCTAGCAAATGTCTGACCTTCACCAGCAACATCACCTAGAAGTTTGTGTGTCATAGAAGGCTTTGGGTAGTCATATGCATTGAACAAAACATGGGCTATTGCTATTCAAAATTTGAGGGCTCTTGTCTGATGAACATGCTGCAGTATGGAAATACCTTTCATGTTGGTGGTCAGAAGATTCCTCCTCTGTTAGCATGTGTTGGTCACCTTTGAGGGTCAAAAAAAGGAATGATCTCACTCCAAAGATTCCTCTATATGATAGCATAGGTCTACACTGTTGGAGCCAGCATTCATGGACACCATCAGGGTTGTTCTGCAGGTACATCAAATCCATTAGCTGAATAAGGTCATCGCTGTACTTGCCACTAGCATTTCTCTGAGGTTGCCAAGAATAAACCCCCCCCCCCCCCTTTCAGGCTAGGAACATGATGAAGGAAAGATGCACCACCTCAAAAAATTTCCACAGCTGTAGCAAAAAATGCCCAACCAATGCACTCAAAACCACAGAAAAGAGCTAGTTATACATAGTTACAAGCCATAAGAGATGGTGATTGGGAGTGATGAAGTTAGAAACCAAATTCTGGAAGCATAATAGAATCATACCATGTTTCGTTGTGAGCAGGGAGTTGATAATAGTAGTATGGAGGTTGAAAAGACACAAGGCTAGTATACTGAAGTCTCTAACAGCATAAGCCTTTATATATGGGCCTGAAGTTCAGTAGTCTCCATTGGAGGTGGAGGTATTGCCATGGAAGCAATAGTGCAACAGATACTGTTAGCCTCACAAAAATGTAAGAGCCCTTTGCATCAGCTCTGAACAGAAACATTGGGATATTCAACATTCATTGTTGCATAAAGTACACATCATTGACACAGCCTCAGGAAGCTGAAAGCCCCTGCACCATTATTCACACCTTCTGGTATGGTTTAATTATAATGGGCATTTGGTTCCTGGCACCAGGATTACTTCTGAGCAATGGCCATTGCACAATAATGGACTTTTTTGCAATTTCTGCTCCTGGGACAGCTAATTCAAATTTAAATGCCCTTATGAAAGTGAAGAGAATAGCTTTCATCTTATACCAGTTTGGTCAGAAGTGAGTGTGAAAGACCAAAACACATAGCACATACTCCACCAGAGAGAAGCAATACCCAATGCACAAATGAGGACTACCAATGAATGACAAAAGGTTCCCCCATACACCAGGTATGGACTTCACTGTATCAGGAATCCTTTCCTATCTTTCTGGTCTGGTTTCCTATGATCAGTGATAGTAAATAGATACATAAGTCAGCCAGGATGAACTTGAATGCTCTCGCATCTTCACCCCACAGGGCTTCTGAAAGATAGTGGTTGTCTATGTGAATGAAATATGCTAAACACACAACACACACACCAACACTCAACAAATGCAGTTTGAAGGGGTAAGATACACCTGGTAGAATACTTGTACTGTAATAATGTTTCCAGGTTGCAATAGAATATATGTTTATGTGATTGAAATACTCTGAAGTGACACAAATTTGTACTTTCTGTGTTACTGAACACAATCTGACACTAATGGGCTGCCTGGTGCAGATTCTGAATGCGTACTAACTGCCTGGTTGTAGTATCTGAACTGAACTGTCTGCCTGGTTGGAGTTTTACTGGTACTAACACAAATTCTGAACTGTCTTTCTGGCTGTCTGTCTGTATCTTGCTTAACTGATTGCTTTCTGAACTGTTCTTGCACACAAAATGTGACCAGATCACTCAATACTATTCCAGGTGAGTCTAGGACTCGAAGTTCTTAGCCAATAAAACCCATACTAATTGCTTGGTAGCATTCCAGGGGCCAGAAACCTTACCTCCCACTAATACAGGTGTGTATTTATACTATTCTACTCTATCTATATTTCCAATCCTTTCAGGTCTGACTAATACTCTTGCTGAGTGAGCCAGGTGGATATGAGCTCATATCCTGGCTACCAGGTAGACCCAATCATGACCATTTGGTGCAACCTGGTGCCCTAGTTCATGATCCCAAGCTCTAGCAGTGCCAGGACAAAGCCCCTCACCCTACCATTCATGTTCCATGTCTACCTGGTAAACCAACCACTAGCCTTGGATTCTAAGAAGACTACCAGGTAAGTGGAACTGTTCTTGCTTCTCTATTTGTACTTGCAGACCAGTGCCATCAGTCAGCTATCACTGCTGGGATGCTGGCTCAGCTGGCATGACTGTAGCAATAGGAATCATAACCACCTGGCCTTTTCTGATCCTAATATTGATGTTTTGAATGAGTGCCAGACTGGCATGGAGTTACATACACACCTGATGCAATCTTGGACTTTGCCTTTCCTGTCAATGAACAGCCAGCTTAAAGGAATCACATCATCCTTTCCTGCAATACGAATGATTCCAGGGACAGGAGAATGCACTTATAACATGTTCCAAACAACCCAATCCAAGTAGGATAGAGCATTCAATTCATCCATCATGGGTGTATTGGTGTCAACCTGTAACAACTCATCCTGCAGTTTGATCTGAGTATCTGGACTTTGAGTCAGAGCAAAAAGATCCCATATTGTTGCAGTGCTAAGCAGGACAGTCAGGTACATAGACTATCTTCTCCAATTTTTACTCACCTTGTGGTTTTGTGCTTGGCAACCAAGAAAGTTGGGACCTCTTTTAGGTATTGAGATGTACCAGACAGTCAAACAGATAGTAGAGATACTTACAGGCTAAAACATCACTATTAGCCATGTGTTGATGTTCACTGATGCCAGAAGACATGTTGGCCTTAACAAGCAGTGAGAGAAGATCCCAAGTGGTCAAACTACCTTTCTCTCCACTTGCTCAAAGGCAGGCATGACTTTTATCAAGGAGTTGATGCCCAATTTGACTCATGGTTTTGTGAGCTCTGGAAATTTTGGCATCCCATGGATCAGGCTTATTTGTAGTAAATAACCTTCTTAGTGACAAAGATGAATGGTCTTATGATAAAATATAACACTGGAAAGAAGGTTTTAATAAACACCAATGGACTCGATTGCATAGCAGTCGTAAAGATTTTGGTAAATGCTTTATTCAACTCATTTGGGGTATGACTGGGGTTGAGTGAATTAAATTTGTAATTGAAACCTTTGAGATACATATTAGGAATAGGAGAAATAAAAGGTGCCAATACAGACTGGTGATGTGCTCGGTAACAGGCAGCACACAAATTAAACTAGTGTCTAGATCATCAATCTAGATACTAAATCACACACACGCACACTATCACTAATGTATGTAAGTTTGAGGGTGAGTATGATAGAAGCACTCATGATATACTTAGATTTAGATAATCAAGTTGGTTGTTTGAAAACAACTTCAATTCTTCTCTTGATGTGTTTTATACAAAGTACACTAGTCTGCAATAATGGGTTTTATGAACATGTTTTGTAAGGTATAGTCAAGCAAGTTATACTCATTTTGATGTTGTCTAGAAGAGCTTCTAGCAGACACTTCAAATAATCAAACAACCAAAGACTCAGAGGTCTACAAAGAGTGCAAAATCACTCTACAAAGAACGCACAGGTTCTGACTTCAAGTACAAGACTTGCAAAGAGTACACAGACTCTAGAGTTCCTTGAACTCGGCAATTGTTCAAACTTAAAGTGTTCTAGGGCTTATTTCACTTCAACTAGGTGATGTCTTTTGACTTAAGGTCGACTCAGCACATCTAGATCACTAATCTCAGAGAGAGAGAGCACAAGGCCTTTGTCCATGGAGCAGTTCAATTAACTAGCAAGGCACAAACACGGGGACGACTCTACTTCCTATTTAACTCTTCTAGATTACTGTAGTCACCCTTATGGGTTGACTTTGGTAACTTAATTCACTTCAGTTGAGGATATGCAATAAAACCAGTGATTGATTAGGTAGCTATACAGGCTACTAGCACAAACATGGGAGAATGCTTTCCTGCTGTTATTCATCTAGTCGCTGCTAATTTATACAATTCATGCTTTAGGTATAGGAGCCCATATCTACAGTAATTATGGTACGAGCTTTGAGATTAATACAAATGGTGAGTCACTATTCTACAAGTATTGCACCATTCCATAGTTGCTATTCAGTTTGATGCAACTATGCTGGGTTATTCTGTCACCAAGGAGTGCCCTACTGGTCCATGGGTGCTCCTTCTACTGTCTGCAAGGCTTGCCATGCACTGTATGTATTGAATACTGTGGTTTGTGCAGAATATTGAGGATGTAACCACTGATCACAATCAACCTCAGGTCTGAGATTATTCCATTGATCACTGCATGATTGAGGTCAGTTATCTCGGTACCCAACATGGCTATTCATTCTTCAAATGTTATTCTTTTCATAGACTGAGTTCATCTTGAAGCTGATCCTTTTCTTGACTTAGCAATTCTTCTGGACAGGTTATTTCCACTCACTGAGGCAACAAGGCATTTAGTTCATTCTGTTCTTCAGCTTCTTGATTTTTGTACTCCATACAGACAAGTCCCTGAGATTTGACTGTAATAGTCTTGTTTTAGGTAGGGCTTAGCTTGGTGTGTTGATGGCTGATAGAATTGACTTGTTGAGATGTCATTTCTAAGTCTGTTCTGTGCTGCCATGCTCTCTTTCTTTATGTAGTATTTAGCTACCAGCATGAAGCCTCTGCTGTAGCTCTCTGTACCACTTGTAGACTGCATAAATTGATGTAAAATCGCAAAATCTACAGGTAGCCTGATACCAGGCATATCACCAGAATGAAGGTCTTCACTTGTGAATTTGCATTTGGGCTACCAAGGAGTGACAAAGCTTTGTATCTCAGTTCATGGCATGGCCGATGCCTAGCATTTATCAAGAGTTAACTTTATGCTCATCTCACATGGCAAGGGTGTGACCCTTCTCACCATGATGCATTCATTGTTCATCCCAACTGGGCATTCCTTCCCAACAATTTCAGTGCCTTCATGAAGCTGGTGTGAGCCCCAAAGCTGTGTCCAACCTGATTGCTTGCAGTGAACATAAATTGCATCTTGTGTCTCATATGCACAGACAGAGGAACATCTGTAGGAAGGGGTCTTAGGACTGAAAGGAAAGCCGGAACAATAATGTGCATAACTCACACATATGAAAAAGTCTCTCAACATCCACTCACAGACAGGTGACTTTGATAGGAGAATATTGTGATATACAGTGGATGAGTCTGATTTTAGAAGCACATGCAGGTAGGGCAGTTGGCATGTCATATGCATCCAGCCCTGTAGACATGAAATCAGCAAGGCATCAATGTAAAAGAAATGATGCCCATACCTCCCTCCCCTCTCAATGCAAATGTTTCAACCCTACATCAGCTGCTACTAATCTGATGCAACAGCAGGAAATCAACACATTTCCTTAGGAGATCCTCTAGGTTGGACTGACCACACTGTTATGGCTATGATTGGCTGGGAGCAAAGGCAAAGGCATTGACCTGCACAGCTCAAGTTAGTAACACTTCGACATTGAAAGGACAACACACACACCTCTATTGTACCATGATGCATGTTCAGTGACTTCAGCAGCCCTTCCAACAATCCTAGCAGCAGTGTTCGCTTCACTCAGAGCCTCTGGTCATTGAGTATTCCATGAGGATAATGGTAATACCAGCATCAAAGCAGCCCAAAAACCAGAGCAAGAGGATGACAGTTATAATTAAACATTTCCCATGCCCTGCAATATGACCATGTGACCTAAACATGGTCAGCCCAGGTAACTTTTCAAGGCTCTCTCCATGATTCAAATTTTGGTCACCATCTCCATCTTGGCTTTCACTGATAACTTCCTAGGAACAATAAATCTTGAAACAAGGATTTATGTGTTGTTTCAAACAGGCTTGGAACACATAGGCAGCAGAAATTCCATTCAATTATGACTTCAGACTCTTTATCATCAAGCCCAAGTCAAAACAAAAAGAAAAATACAAGAAGCACTGCTCAGATACTAATACAGCAGGACCTCAGATCAAATGAGGAGCTGTTTCCACAGAATTCCTGCTTGGGCAAGGGCTTGAACTAGTGATGCATGGTATTATAGACTAGGCCATAAGTATGGTATAGAAATGTCTCATCACTAGCAAAGGAGATGGTGCTGGCAAGTAGAGATCTATTCTATGCCTAGGATGAAAGACCACAATGAACGATATTTGTGAATTGAGCAATGATTAGTATGTCTGACAATTTTAGCACAGAAAAACTTTAGTGTAGTACATCTGAGATGTTGAGAGCAGAGTTTCATATAAAAAGTATGTGGAGACATTACCTATAGCAGGACCTGGGATCAAATGAGGAAGCTACTTGGACAAGGAAGCGGTTCAACCATTGCTTGCCATGTCAAAGTATGAAGAGAAGATCAAAGAATGCCCCTGGCCTCAAAGGATCCTGTGTTGTCACAAATCTCCAAAAACAAGAACACTGTATTATTTGACTGCAGGCAGGGTAAGGAACAAGCTGATATCTACACTGTAGCAACTTCAGGGGTAATCAAATATGTAACACTTGAGCTGACAACAAATCAACACCCTCAGAACATCCCTCAAGAGATACAAAATGCACCTCAACCTCTGCGTTCCCATACATCAAGGGTCAGTCTCCTCCTAGTATCATCATCTTCTGATAGAGAGAATATAGTGACAACCACTCCATTCAGAAGTTCAGTGATCCTGATAGGAAAGCTGAAGCTTAAAGCTTAAAGGAGGAAATGCACAAGTGAGGATCATATTGAGAGATTTGAACTACTAGTACATACATAGTGGTGTGGGGCAGAGTGCTAGGAAACAAGGTCACAAGGACCTGAGGAATTGTCAGAGACCAGTCAGAGAAAGGCTATCTTCATCAATGACAAAAAGTGCTTACCTTTAATGCTGGCTTAGAGCAAGAAGAACCACTCTAACTGCAACAGTGTCCAGAAGCCAGCAGAGACCTTATATCAAAAAGAGACTACAGATGACATTCTGAGTATCCAACACTCAATGATGAACATAGTACCAGTCATGAAAATTTGAAAACTGATATATAGACACTGGTATCTCCTGCAGCAGCTGCTGCACAGTTCATGGCTAGCTAAATTGCTTCCTCATAATATCCCTCATAAAAGAGAACAGGAGAGAATTGTAGTCAGAGCCCAGGATGCCAGCACTGGCAATCTGACTCAAGGCAAGTGAGCTACAACTTGCACTGTTGGAAAGAAAATGTGTATGCACCTCTCTGCAATATGTCCATACCCACTATGTATGTTCCTTCATGTCTTAGAGTTGTTGGTCAGAGTCGTGGAAGCCATCACTTAAGAGAATGGTGCAGAATTTGTCCAGGAGAGGTCATAGTGCTTGGATATGAAATGCACACAGGTCGATCTGCAAAGCCAGACTTAGTGAAACCTCAGCACTTCAGCATTGAAAGAAGGTACATGCACCTCTCTCCACACAGCATGCCTATGTCTCTCTGAGGCTTAAAATCATTCCCATTCCACCTTGCTGGTATTGTGTACTGGAGATTGGAGCATGAATAGCCATGTATATAACACTCAGTGTCTTGGTTGAGTGGATGACAGTGGGAAGAAAAGAAGCATGCATTTTCCCCTGGTAGAATTCTCTTTCCAGCAGGAACAGGAACTGGAAGTGCATACTTCTGGCTCCTTCTCTGTCCCTCACTATGCCTTTATCTCACTATCAAACTTCCACTCTGGCTTCTGAGTGAATTGCAAAGCAATTCGATCAGGGAGGGAAAGAATGTGCCTAGTCAGATATGGATTCCAGTATCAACTAGAGTGTGAGGGCCACCACATATGTGTAGCAGATCCGAGTCCTATACACTTTTTTTGTGCCCATCAA